GCCTTTCAAGTAGTCAGAACCACAGGAGAGCACTACAATGCCAAGCTAATTTTTAAAAGTTTTATTGTAGAAGCAAGGTCTTGCCAATTTTCCCAGGCTGATCTTGAACTCGTGGGCTCAGGTTATCCACTCACCTCAGCCTCCCAAAGTGCTGGGATTATAGGCTGAGCCATTGAGCCCGGGCTCTTTGTTTTCTTGATATGTACGTGCAATGTTGTGATTTTTTTCTCTTAACACTATTTTCAGGGCATCCTAGAGATTCTGATAAGATGTGTCTTTGTTTTCATTTGTCTCCAGGAATCTTTTTATTTCTGTCTTGATTTCTATTTTGACCCACTCAGTAGCATGTTTTCCAGTGTCCATGTCTAGTGTGTTTGGGGGGGAGGATCTTGGTGGTGATATTTACTTTTATTCCACTGTGATCTGTGAAGAGGCATGGTATTATTTTCATCTTTTGAACTTTGTTCACGCTTGATTTATGTCTGAGAATGTGATCGATCTTGGAGTGTGTTCCATGTACTGATGAGTAGAATGTAAACTCAACAGATGTTGGGTGAAATGTTCTGTAGATGTCTATTAAATCCATTTCGTCAGGTGTCAAGTTGAGTTTCTGGGTTTTCTTGCTATTTTTTTGCCTTGATGATCTATCTAAAGCTGTTAGTGGGGGTATTTAGGTCTCCACCTATGATTGTGTGAGTCAGTGTCCTCTCTTAGCTTACTTAGTAGTTGAATTATAAAACCTGATATTGGGTGCATATATGTTTAGGATGGATATTTCTTGATGGTGGATTGAGCCTTTTATAATTATGTAGTATACTTCCATGTCCTTTTTAACTTTTGATGATTTGAAGGACTGCTTTGTCTGATATCAGAATAACTACATCTGCCCTTTTCTGTTTCCATTCACCTGAAAGATCATTTTCTAGCCTCTAACTTGAGCCTGTGGGTATCCTTTGCAGTGAGATGAGCTTCCTGGAAGCAGCAGACTATCGGACTGTACTTCTTTATCCAGTTTGCCATTCTGTGTCTCTTCAGTGGCACATTTAGTCTACTCACATTCAAATTGATTATTGAAATATGAGAGTTTCTCCCTGTCATAGGACTCTTGGGGGTTGCTTTGTTTCCTTTTTACTTTTGTATTTATATGTGTGTATTTTCATTTTTGTGAGTACTCTGTGTGCTCCGTTAACTCTGTGCTTGCCTGTACTGTGATGAATATGACCGTTCTTTTTTTTTTTTTTCCCTGTTTTCAACACCTTCTTAAGTGTCTCCTGAAGGGCTCATCTGGAGGTGGCATATCTTTTAGGGATTGGAAATCTGGGAATGATTTTACCCCATCATTGATGAAGCTTAGCATGGTGGGGTAGGGAATTCTTGACTTATCTTGCTTATCTTTAAGAATGTTAAAGATTGGACTCCAATTCCTTCTGGCTTATAGTGCCTCTGCAGATACATCTGGAGCAATTCTGATGGGTTTTCCCTGGAAGGCAATCTGACCTTTCCCTCTTGCTGCCTTTAGGAATTTTTCTTTCATGCTTATTTTGTGGAGGCAGATTGCTGTGTGCATTTTGGATGGTCTTATCATATGATACTTTGCAGGGGTTCTCTGAATCTCTTGTGCTTGGATGGTCATCTCTCTGGCTAGGCATGGGAAGTTTCCTTGAATTATCTTATTTAATGTTTGTTCCATGGTATTTTCTATGCCCCTTTCTGCTTCAGGAATATCAATCAAGTGTAGATTTGGCTTCTTAACACAGTCCCACATCTCTTGGAGGCTTTGCTCTTTCTTTTTGAGCTTTTTTGGTATATTTTTTACAGACTCGGTTAATTCCATATTTCGCTCTTCAAGCTCTAGAATCTTTCCTCTGCCTGGTTGACCCTACTACCTATGCTTTAGTGATTCTTGATTTACAGGATAAAGTTTTTCATTTCCATTATTTAAGAAAGGACTTTTTTGAAATTGGCCACCTCTGCTTTTGCTTCCTGTATGACTTCAGTGAGTTTCACTTCTAGTTTTTATTTGTTCTTGTTCACTTTTGCCATCCATTCTCTGTTGTCTGTAGTTGTTATCTGGGGCAGATCGGTTGGGGAGGTTTCCATTGTTTGTGCTCTGATAGTTGCTTTTTTCAGGCACTATCTCTTTAGGACTCTGAGGGTTGCCTGTGTTTTTTCATTGATTTTTCCTCATTTATGATAGGCCTCTTTCAGCTCTAGTAAATCCCAGTAAAGAGACATGTGCTTTATTATATCTACTTTTTTTTTTAAATTTAAAGCTCTAAAGTTGTTCAATTACCCTCTGTTATGGGGTCCTTTCTGTGGTTCAATATATGTCACTCAATGAGGGAGTGAGGGGCATTCACATCTGCTCTTTGCTCCACATTGTGGCAGGATTCTGTCATTGCAGAGCTTCTCACCCACTGCTAAACTTGTTGGACCACCTTTAAGTCCCTGCTGTTAGTACTCTGTGAGTAGTGAGCAGTAGGGGATGGGGGTTGGGGAAGGGGAGATAACAGGTCTTCCATCTGCTCTCTTTAGTCTATAGCCCAAGAGACTTCCCACTGAGAGAACCCTTGGGTGTCTTTCATGTTGCTCCCTCCATGTTCAGGTTCACACCAAGTTCTCTGCCACAGAGGGGTGTGAGCAGACTCTGCCCTGCCAGGATGCAAAGCTGGAGAGAGTTCTTCCTGATCTGGCTGGGAAGATGGTCACCAGCTGCTGGCAGTGAACATCAGCCTGGTTCACTCTCCATCCATGCATCACCAGACAGAGGGGAAGCTGTGCTTACAGCAGCTGACCCAGCACAGGTCTTCCTCCTGTTCTGCTTGGGCTGTGGTTGCCCACTGCAATACCTTTCTCAGGACTCCTCCCATGTGGGACAGATGACCCACACACAGCTAGAAGGGGGTGAAGTGTACCAAAGTGTCTTTGGCTCACTCATCACTTTCATCCTCTGGGCAAGGTTTCATTCTTGTGTGAGCCTGTCACATGGTGGGGGATAGGATGCCTGGATCCCCACATCTGCTGTTGCTTTCTGCTCTATGTGTTCAGAGAGAACTTTGCTGGATGCGTCTGTCCAAAAGTGTTCAAGGTGTCTCCATTTATCAGTGACTGTGTCTCTACTTTCTGCTTTGCTCAATGAGAGAGGTTCTGGTCTTCTGCTCCACAGTGGCATATTCTGTTTATTAGTAAATAAATATTCACTCTGCTCTTGGGAAGACCTCTAAAAACATATAAAATGTGTGAAATATTAATCCCCAAAATATAGTTGTAACTGCTCACAAAGCAACTCAAAAACTAAAATCGAGTCTGATGGACCTTGTCTGGCTTCATTGAAGATAAAGGTCTAGCATTCTCTATATTTTGATTTTCTTTAAGATATACTGAAAATTTTCCAAGTCATGGGTCAGAAGAAACAGGATTTCTGACACCAAGATATTGTCTTATTTGGGGGCCTCTGAATGGCTGTTATCAATGCTGACTATACTCAAATTCCAAACTGGAGGGTGAATTCAACTGTCCACCTGGAATCCTTGACAACCAGTTTAAACTGTCTTCTCTTGTCCAGTCTGTCTTTCTGGATGCAGATTTTATTCTGTGACTAGAAGCTGCAGAAATGGGAATCCTGGTAAAGAGACATGTGCTTTATTATATCTAAAATGATCCAGCACCTCATATCCAACCCACTTGTTTTGATTGGCTATTCCAAAACTCACTTTAGCAAGAACTCTGGAGGCAAGCCGAACCAAGATTGAGCCACAACTCCCCCTGACGTTTGTAAGGTGAAGCAGAAGCCAATTTCTGTGACCTGTAGATCATTTCTAAACAGTGGAGTCTCTTTTTAAAGGTGAATTTTTTTTTTCTTTCCAGGCCAGTGGGTCCCACGGACTACAGAGTATGGTAAGACTTTTTTTGCTTTACTCCTCTTCCCAGGGTTTTGCTTATTGACTGGGTTACAAGTTCTGCTGCTGTTGGCTTGTTGAGGCTGAGTACAGCAATTGCCTGCCTCGGACGAGGCAGGGATAGGAGCAGGGACAAAAGATGGTGTGCCAAGTCCCTGGGCATGTTTCAGGAACACACTTGGTCAGTTCCATGTGTATTTTTCCTTCTTTTCTCTGCCTCTCAGTCATTCATTGGATGAGATTAGCTTCAGCTTGGTGTGAATAGAAATAGAAAAAAAATAGAAAAAAAGTCAGTTCCTATTCTTCTCACTAATAATGACAGTTATCTTGAAGATAACTAACATCTATCAAGCTCTTTTTATGTACCCTGCACAAAGTTATTTTATGTACTAAATAAAGTGTTGTATAAAAAACATTTAAAATACTCCCTGACATAATAATTACTCAACTAATGCACACAGTAAGTGTTACGATCATGACATCCTTCCTACCACACTTTGAGGTAAGTATTATGATTATACCCATTTTGCAGATGAGAAAACAAGGACATGGTTAGGTCATTTGTCAATACTTGCATATCTAAGGGCACATGACCAGTCAATGGCAGGGCAGAGATTTGAACCACGTGCAGTGGCAGTGGAAATGAAAAGGAAAGAGTGGCCTTGATGATAAGTTGCATATAAGAGGTAAGGAGAGGGAGGAGTCAAATATGATGCCCAGATTTCCAGCACAGTTGATGAGGAGCACGGTGACCTTGTTAACTCAAATGGAGGAAAGATGCTGTGTTGAGTTTGGCATGGTGGGGGTGCGATGTCCAGGAGGCCACTGGAAATGCTGGTCTAGAACTCAGAGCTGGGCCAGGACTGGAGAGAGAGATTTGTGGGTTCTCTGTCTAGAAAGTTCTCCAGGGGGAAAATACAGAGTGAGAAGAGGGCAAAGGCAGCAGTTGACAGATGGTGATATTTATGGTCTCGTGGGAAGAAAAGTCAGTGGAGGAATGGGGCAGGAGGTCAGAGAAAGCAGAAGGGGGACTGCTGGGGTGGGATGCAAGCCAAGGGGGAGAGAACACCAAGGCCAGGGTTTTCTGCTGTGTCAATGCAGGTTTGCCGCTGAGGCTGGTGAATGGAGGTGATCGGTGTCAGGGCCGGGTGGAGGTCCTGTACCAAGGCTACTGGGGCACCGTGTGCGATGACAGCTGGGACGCCCAGGATGCAGATGTCGTCTGTCGGCAGCTTGGCTGTGGCCACTCCGTGTCAGCCCTGGGTGGGGCTCACTTTGGTCAGGGCTCAGGAAACATTCTCTTGGGTTCCGTGGACTGCTCAGGATGGGAGCCCTACCTGTCAAGCTGTCCTCACAGTGGATGGTACAACCATGAATGTGGCCATAGGGAAGATGCTGGCGTCGTGTGCTCAGGTAGTGTGGATATCACCTCCCAGTGTAAGTGCAATTCTGGGGACAGATATTGACTCAGAGTCAATATCATGGAACATGCCTGCGTGTGTGTGTGTGTGTGTGTGTGTGTGTGTGTGTGTGTGTGTGTGTATGTGTGTATGTTCGCCTGTGTCCTTTGCCGTTTATCTGCTCTGCTGTAAGTCATGCCTCATTTGATGTGAGGGGCAGGTATTATCACGTCTTTTTATAGACAATGAAATCAAGGTGCACAGAGGTCAAGGGACCAACCTGTCATCCTAAAGTTGGAAGTGGTGCAGGCAGCTTTTGTTCTCAGCCCCCTCAGAGCTTGCTGTTGTGATTGCTTTCTGGACTGGTTCTGTTGGGTAGCATCATGACCCTCCCTGGACTGGGATGAGCAAACAAATACCTTCCTAAGGGGCAGTCTCTCCTTCTTTAAAGGCAGAGAGGCTTGAGGGAACTGCTGGTCTTTAGTACTTAAATGTATACCAAAATCAAATTGAGGAGTAACCAGTATGTTTTCTTTATTGGAATTAAATGACAAGCAAAAATACTTACACACACACGGAAAAAATAAATTCTTCCTGGCCCAAACCAGCAAGCCCAGTGCTGCGTTTCTCATTTTTTCACATAGTTTTGGGATATGTGCAAACACCACGATGTCCTTTAATCCACAAACAAACCTCTGAGAATACCAGCTCATGGTGTGACCTCCTAGAGGAGTTTCTAGTCAAGCCGTCCACTTTTAGAGTAACCTCTGGCAATTGTTGTGTGGACTGGACTGAGCACGTGCCATGAGATGTACCTCATAATCCAACCACCACGTGAGAATGGGCTCTCCAAGGGGCACAGGCCTCCACATGGCCACTTTGTAAGGGACTTATTTCAGCATTCTGGAATGCAGCTCTGGAAACTGCCTTTCTCCTGGGGGGGCAACTTCTCAGGAATATTTCAGTGATGGCAAACACTTGTCACTTGAGAGTATGTCTGAGCTATAGAAAGGACTAGATGTCATTTTAAATCCAATCTTGTGATTAGGACAGGGTTGTTAATGAACTGGGTGGCTTTTTGGATAGAAACTGTGGCAATAGGGGAGGTGGGAGGAGGATGACAGGAACCAAGGATGCTCACCCTTCATGAAGTCCATGCAGTGACAGAGAGATTGGTGTTCAGTCAGCTGTTAGCAATGGAGGGCACCTGCAGGACTTGTGCTTCTGGACCTTGCTTTGAAGCTGAGAAAGAAGTGGGCCAACCCCCCTCAAATGAGGGCCATCATCAGTGAGCACTTCCATTTTCCACCCTGCAGCTGCTTTGTTTTCCACAGAGGCATTCCTGGTGACAACTTCAGCAGAAGGTAATGTCTGTTATGGGGAATCCCTATAGGCTAATTAGTCCACTGCAGTCCTAGGTTCATCTCTGATCCAGAAGAGATACAGAGGACATGGGATGTGGGATGCTCAGCTCCCAAGGATAAGACCTCAGGTTTGGACAGGTGTCTCTTCTATGGATCATGTCCCTGAGATTAGAGAGGTATCAACTTGGAGAAGCATCTCCAAGGAGCTCCAAGGTGTAGCCTGATGTCCAACTTCTAGGGCTTTTGTTGCCCTCACTCAGTGCCTGCCCCTGTGGTCCTCATCAATCCATGCTGACTCCTGGCCAGCCTGGGGTGCTGGATCTCTGGCAGGTGCCCACATGCTTAGGTGGCCAGATCTCTGGGGCAGCATCCTTGCTCACGCTCTTTCCCTGACTCCATACCAGGCCACTCTGGCTTCTTCACAACATAGAGAAATCAAGACCCTTCAGCCTATGGGCATCCGAGCTCCTATATTTCCCCTGGGGACACCTCTGGTGAGAGATCCAGGAGGCACAGTCAATACAGCCTGAGATTCTGGCAGCCTGGGTTTTGGGAAGGGAAGTGACTTTCCATTTCTGATGGAAAACTTTGGAGTTGGAACAAGATCAAGGACAACTTCCACATCAAAGCCCCTAGCCTGCCCAGTGTCAGCACAGAGCAGTTGGTAATCTCGGTGATACATACATTAGGCATTTCTATTTCTTATGCCTCTGCTTTTCTATCTCTCAGGCCTATACATGATGCCTGACTTTACCTTCTCTATCTCTTCCCTGTAATAAAGGATACAGATGTCACTAGTGCTGAGGATGAGACTGGCTTTAATCTGCCTTAGCTATGTACTTGCCTAAGATTCCAACCTTTTCTTATTTGCAGCAACTGTAAGAGGAGAACCTGGCCTCTCCTCTGTAGTGGTTTCTCCTGAGGTCCCTGTTATGTATTAGGAATAGTAGCTGAGCCTGACAAGCCCTTGGTCCAGCCAGGGATGGGAGCAAGGGGGTTGAGGGTTCTGTCTGATTTGCTTGTGACACAAGCTTGTAGACAGAACTTACCTAAACTTGCTCTCATCAGAAACTCCAGTTTAGGGTGGGGGTCACGTTTCTTCTAATTCAGAGACCTCATTAGAAGACCAGATGGGTGCCTCAGGTGGAAGCTGAGTGCTCTGGTTGTAGTGGGTTAAGAGTGGCTCTCAGATCACCTCCTCTTTGAATCTTAGAACCCAGTCAGCTCTTGCAGGTGTCCTGCACAAGTGCCAGGTCTCTGGAGGAACTTGAAAACCTAAATTTAAAGCCAGTATCTTACTCAAAAGGGGAATGTTAGAAGTATTTTCACTAAATAAAAAACAAGGCAAGTATGCCCTTCGTTTCCACTGCTATTCAATATTGTACTGGAGATGAGAAACTCATCAGTGCAATTAGAGGCATAAGAATGGGAAAAGTTATGTTCACATTCATCCCCTGGAGCCCTGCACAGGTCACATGCAGGCATGTCAGAATCAGAATCAGTAGGTTGATACAGAAATATTTCCACCACAAATTGCCCTTTAAATGGAAGAAGTCAGTCCTAGCCCTTCCAAAAGTCACACAGCTACACACAAAAATCTAGATCAGGAACGACAGCTTCTCAGCAGATCCCAGTTTACTTCCAGCCCTTGATTCTCCTCAAAAGAGGGCTAACTTTATATTTTTGTTTTTCTTTTCCATTTTCCACAATTGGTGTATGCAGAGGCTACCACAGCAGCGACGGCCACTGTGATAGGTAATGAGTAACTTTATATGTGTTCCCTTCTGCACATGATGCCAACTAGATCCATGGGTTTGACTTTTATTTGGGAAGACTTTTGGGTTGGGAGGGAATGTTGTGAGCATATAGTGACCTTTTTTTTTTTTTTTTTGAGTTGGAGTCTCACTCCGTCTCAGCCACTACAGCCTCGACCTGCTGGGCTCCGGCGATCCTTCCGCCTCAGCCTTCCAAGTAGCTGAAACTACAGGCACGTGCTACCACGTGCTGATTTTTGATTTATTGTAGAGATGCGGTCTCGCCAAGTTGCCCAGGCGGGTCTCAAACCCCTGGGCTTAGGCAATCCACTCACCTCAGCCTCCCAAAGCGTGGGATTACAGGCTGAGCCACCGAGCCCGGCTAGTGACCTTTTAATCAGAGGTCAGCTGGACTGGAGCCTCCTTCATTGGCCATGTCCCTGTGGGTGGGGAGGAGTAAGTGAAAATGGGGGGTGTCCCAGACCCTATGTGCTTTGCAGGGCAGAGACCAGTGGAGTCAATCTCTAGTACCAGCTTCCCCATCTCCACAGCTCTGAGCCGATCCCCAGCCATCCTGGCCCTAAGGACCTGGCTATGAGGCAGGGGAGCATGGGCAAAATGTGCTCCAAGCTAACCCTAGAGTTCCAGATGTACATCGTAACTTCTCCCAAGTCATCCTGGTGTCCTCTGGCTTCTCTTTGGCACAAGGCATTATATGAAAGAGAACACAAAAAAACCCCTGGAATCTATTTGTTAAAAGTTGTGTGTTTATTCTTACATGTTTAACCTTCAGTCACCTTCAGAGTACTCTCCATTTAATGCAATTCACCTTTTGAGATGCTTTTTGCACTACACAAAACAGATTTTGAACGTGTCAATTTTAATACCTTTTCATGCTGCTGCTGTTTTTTGTTTCACCTCTCCCACATTGGCAAAATGTTTCCCTTTGAGGATTTTTTTTCATCTGGGGAAACAAACAAACAAAAAAGAAACTCAGGGTGAGAATGGGTGAACAGGGAGGGTGGGACACGGGGCCATGTCATTTTTAGTCAAAAACTGTTGAACCCTTAGCATGGTGTGGGCAGGTGTGATTGTAAATCACCCATCATGAAATGGGGAAACACGTTGAAAGACTCTCCAAAACAAAAATTCAGCAAAACCAAGCACAGCCTCTCACAGCAATGCTAGCTGGTACACTGATGCCCATGGGTTCCCAGAACACTTACCCAGTGGGGGAAGCCTGTACTACAAGGGACACACCCTCCAAATGATAATTCTGGGCTTGTTTGTGTCCTCCCTCATGTATTTTCTAACGGAGTCAGGCCTCTGCCCATGGCCTGCTTAGCGAAGGAACATGTGGAGGGTCTCTTGGGCCCCTCCAGGATGCCAGTTAAGCAGGGCAATTCCTACTACCTGACTCTCTAGAGGCTTGGGTTTGGTCAGAGAAGTCACTATCTTCTTCCCCATGAAGAACTCTAGCCTCAAGATGTGTTAGAGTCCAGCCCAATTAGAGATTCTCTCAGAGATCTTTGCCTACTAGAAAGACCTAAATGTCCTACAGGCCCTGAGACCTTGTCCCTCAGTAGAAACATACAAGAGAAATGGTGTGCCTTCTTCTAGGGTCTGATTCTGGCTTGGCTGTGAGGCTGGTGAATGGAGGCGACCGGTGTCAGGGCCGGGTGGAGGTCCTTTATCGAGGTTCCTGGGGCACTGTGTGTGATGACAGCTGGGACACCAATGACGCCAGTGTGGTCTGCAGACAGCTGGGCTGTGGCTGGGCCACGTCAGCCCCAGGAAATGCCCGGTTTGGTCAGGGCCCAGGGCCGATTGTCCTAGATGACCTGCACTGCTCAGGGCACGAGTCCTACCTGTGGAGCTGTCCCCACAACGGCTGGCTCTCCCATAACTGTGGCCATAGTGAGGATGCTGGTGTCATCTGCTCAGGTAGGTATCAAAGATCACTAGGGCCCATTCTGGGGACAGACTATATTCCGAGAAAACACGTTTCTCTTCCAGGGTCTGACAGCCCAAGCTTTTCATCCAGATATCCAGTGTTCCTGGAGTTCGCTTGGGGCAGCGGGTCTGGAGGGGTAACATCAGGTTCTCTGGTTAAAGAAACAGCACAGTCAGTATGAGTCCCCAAACCACAAGCAGTGTTGGTTTGGGCACCAGCACTCAGACACAGGCTCCAACATACTGAGGGCAGAGACGCAAAGAGCCTTTTCATTTTGCTACAGGAACATCTGCTCACTGCCACCCCCAATTTACCTGAGGCTTTTTCTCAGGGATGGCAGCTTTTGGGGATCTGGTTGGTGAAGCCTCCCGTCTCTGAGAAGACTATTATTACTTTGAGTGTTCACAGCAGCTGACTCAGAGGGAAGAATTCAAATCTAAATGGTTCACTTATGATTGCACTGAGAAGAGGCAGGAAAGTAGGGTGTGTGTAGGGATGGCAGGCACATGATAAATGGTGTGCTCATGAGCGAGCTTTGCACACATGCTGGAGCCAGACCTCATGGAGGACCATCAGGAATCCACGTCAAATCTCAGACTCATTGCAAATCCAGGGTGGCTAGCTGGGGTCTCCATCAACTCATTGCTCAGGGTCACTTTTTGTTGCATCCTAGGTGGTGATGCAGAGGCTGACATGTCCTGTCTTGGGCACAACAGTGGCCTTCATCTTTCTGGAGAATGAGCCTTAGGCACAGAGATGTGGGCAATGGCCAGGGGATGTAAGGTGTCACTCCCTGATGGTCTAAGAGATTCAGAGGAGCACTGGCAGTGTGCTCTCAGGGGGCACATGATGGGCGTCAGCTCAGTGTGTGCAAATACACCAAGTCCTTCAAGCTTTGATTATAATTGGGAACACCTGAGTGCTTTGTGTCTAACATTCCTATTCTTCCTCAAAGTGGCCCAGCCCCAGTCCCATGCCCAGGTGAGTCCCCAGTGCCCTTACTCAGGATGCCCCTTCTCTTTCTGTCCACTCAATTCCTCCCCACACCCCACAGAACCCTACTTCTTGTCTGTTCAGATACTCTGGAACATATTCTTTCCCCTCGCTCTGTATCCATCTCAGTTGACACCAAATGGTAGGATACTTCCTCAATGGGTAACTCTTACAGGTTCAGAAAAATGGCCACAAATTCTATGAGTGTTGTCCCTATTATATTCAGTGTTGCCATGATCTTTCTGAGGATTGAGGTTGATACCCTCAAACCTTCTGCTGAAGGCAATGTCAACACAGGGCAACACCTCCATCCCTCACTCTTTGAAATGCCCTCAGATTCTACAGGCCATGGCTACTATGTGCAGAAGAGGAAGAGGCTGTGCTTGGGGGAAGAGAGGGGTAATAATATTTCTGGTGCTTCCACCTCCCAATAAACCCGATTCTCCCCTGGGTGGCTCCCTGGTCCCCTAACATTTTCCCTCTAAGTGTCAGATTATGGGCAATAGTGTCCGGTGTCCCAGTCATTCTACGGGTCAGTGGGTTTATAGCTGAGAAAACTAATATTCCTGTCTTAGAGAGATGGAGATACCAGTATGGTCTCCAGCTAGGTCTCAGTCCGTGGGCAAGCTCGCTGGGCAGGAGACTTGAGCAGACAATTGAGGAGCAAGCGGCAGGATCCAGAGGGTAATTGTTGTCATGCGGCCTGCCTGGGACAGAGCACCTTTTGTTCCTGGCATTTTCCCTTCAAGTCTAATTCGAGCCTTCTTCTTTGTCGCTTTTTACAGATGCTTTGCCTACCACAGTCACCCCTGCTACACCAATAGGTAAATAATCCTCTCAACCATCCCTGGGGCATCACTCTCTGCCTCTGGATAACCTTTGGATTTGAAAATGATAGGATGGGGCTCAAGGAGGGCCCCTCCCTTGTCTATCCATGTCCCTGGGGGTTGGATGGGGAGGAAAGTAGAGCTCTCTGCAGACCAAGTTCTGGGTCTGATGTGGGAGAAAGGAGGGAGCTGATGACCTGACTCCAGTGGGGTCTGGTTCCAGGCATTCAGGAAAGATCCTCCCTTAGGTGCTCAGGAAAAACCTAGGAAGGCTCAATTGTGCTAGTAGGATCAAATCCTCAGGCTATGGGCTGCAGATCTGGGAAGGGTGGGTAGAAGTGCCAATATCTTCACTTGTCTGGCCAAGGTCCTGCCATTCTCAGCACTTTGCCAGTTGCAGAAAAGACCATGCAGGTCTCACCAAGATCTTGAACATGAGGAGACCAAGGCTTTCCACCTGTAGTTGTAGAGCACCATGCTATGGATGCCCGCAGTCAGGAGTGGGGCAGACTTTCCTGTCACTTCCACTGGGCTCACGGGTACATTCCCATAACTTGGGAATCCTTAGACCTGGGCAGAATAAGATGTCATTGATTCTTTCACTGGACTGAACATTAGCCTCTGGCTGTATTCAAAGGTGGACAGCCTGCCCAGATGACTTTGGCTATTAAGTCCCTTGAATGCAGAACATGATACAGTTCCTTGGCCTCTAGACAGGGATGGATGAAGGGTTCTTGTGTCTCCCTTTAGGATCTGATTCTGCATTGGCCCTGAGGCTGGTGAATGGAGGTGACCGGTGTCAGGGCCGGGTGGAGGTCCTGTACCAAGGCTCCTGGGGCACCGTGTGTGATGACAGCTGGGACACCAATGATGCCAACGTGGTCTGCAGGCAGCTGGGCTGTGGCTGGGCCATGTCAGCCCCAGGAAATGCCCAGTTTGGCCAGGGCTCAGGACCAATTGTCCTGGACGACCTGCACTGCTCAGGGCATGAGTCCTATCTGTGGAGCTGTCCCCACAACGGCTGGTTCTCCCATAACTGTGGCCATAGTAAGGATGCTGGTGTCAGCTGCTCAGGTAGGCCTTCAAGCCTTGGGCCTTCCTTTCTTGGATGGGGTTCTCTCAGGAAGTGAGTCCTCATTACCTTCTGAAGTTCTCACTCAAAGCTTTTCCTATGTTTTCTATTTCCCTGAGGTCTTCTTAGCTCTCTACTGAGAATCAGTGTGAGTTTTGTCAAGCTGCCTATTGAGGTGGTCATTTAGGACATTGGGCCATGTTGAAATGATAATCAAGCCTGTATCTACTTACTGAGGCACTGGGAGCAGGAGATCAAAGAGGGTGAGGGTGATGTGGATGCCGTACAGACAGGGTACCAGGGAAGGGATCATTTAATTGGGAAAAGCTGGAAACCAAAGGCCCCTCTTCAGAGTTGTGGTCTTGAGTCCAGGACACAAGGCACATGGGCTAGGAGTACAGATATGTGTATGTGCATGTCTGGCCCTTGTTTGGGGGTGCTTGAGTTCTTGACCTCAACTCCGTCCAGAGACATGCAGTGCCTTTCCTGTACCAAAGTCTGGTTGGAAAGGGCAGGACAACATGGGGCATACCAGGCAAAGTCTTGGAACTGTCTGTGGTGGGTCTGGAAGATTACACATTGGATCCTGACTGGAGCTGGCCTCCTAAGACCTGTGGACTCAGTGGGCTGCTCAACCCTCCCAGGTAGAGGGTTAGTCACTACATGCAGATAGAGCTAATCGCCATGAAGTTGCAAATAGTGGACAGGATGTTCCTGGACCCCCCCAGAAGGGACATCTTTGTGGGGGTGTGAATGGCAACACCTCTCCCTCCATGATGTGGGACAAAGATGGACTGAGTATTTGACTGCTCAGTGCCTACCACATTTGGCTCCCATTTTGCCCCTTTTGTGTAGTGAGTCTGATCTGACCTTCTCTTTCTTACAGCTGCCTGGCTTCTGTCTCCATCCCCAGGTGAGTCCACAATGTCCTTGCATTCTTACTTGGGATGTCAGCACTTTCTCTCCCCTCAGCCCTTCCCCTCACTCTACAGAACTCTGCTTCCTATCTGTGCAGATTCTATAGAGAATATTATTCTCACCCCCAACTCTGCAACTGGGAATCTCAACAAGGAACTTCTCAACTAGACACTTGGATCCAGAATTGTCTTTTCATCAGTGTCTGATACCATCCCAGTGTACAACTCTCAAAGTTTCAGAAAAGTGTCTACCCATTTCATGAACTTTGGCTCTTTTATATTCAAGGCTGCCATACCCTTTCTAAAAATTGAGATTGGTACCCTTCAATCTTCTTTTGAAGGCAATGTCATGCAGGCCAGATGTTTCTGTGCCTCACTCCTTGAAATGCCCCAGATTCTGCAGATCTGGGCCACATCTGCATCCAGAGGAGGCAGAGGCCATGCTCATGGGGAAGAGATGGATAATAAATGTTTCTAGTGTTTCCACTTTCAAGTAAGCTTGATTCTTCCCTGGGCATCTCCCTGGCCCCCTAACATTATGCTACAAGTGTCACAGTATGGGCAATAGTGTCACATGTGCTAGTCAGTCCATTGGGTCAGGGTATGAGGGGAGGATCAAAGACTTTTTAACTAAGAAGTCATTCCTGTTTTAGAGGAGTAGAGGAATCCATGTGGTCTCCTGCAGGACTTTAGTCCATGGGTGAGCTCACTGGGCAGGAGACTTAGGCAGACACATGAGGAACAAGTGGCAGAATCCAGAAGGTGAATTATCATCATGTTCTTTGTGTCATCCTAACAAAAAGACACTAGAGAAAGCTATCTCTGAATATGTTGACTTTACTGGGGATAGCAATAAGGATTATAATCTGGAATGCACAAAATGGCACGTCACCAGTACATTCTGTAAGGGAGTGGTGAGGGAGCTTTTATTAGCAAAAAATGATTTACATCACCTGCTTAAAAACAAGTTCATTGATTCCAATGGTTCAAAGCCAGAGTTGTCAGTTCACTAGTAGGAATGCCTATACTGAGTAAGTGTTCTTATCTGAATGTTTGCATCCTAAAGAATCCCTAGAAATAAACCTTTCCAAAGCAGAATTATGAGGGACAAGAAAGGGTTTTTAGGAGGTCCTTGGAAACAGTTCTTTCCTCAGACAACTAAGCATAAGCCTCCCCTTCTTCAGGCCTTCTTGACCCTATTTGTCTAGGTCTGAAAAAGTGATTTCATCCTAGTATCTGCAACTTTCATGCCTGCCAGGTCCAAAGAACCTTTTATTCCTGGGCTCTACCCTTCAGGTGTAATTCTAGCTTTACTCTATGTTGCCATTTACAGAAACATGGCCCATCAAAACCTCAACAGTACCAACAACAGGTAAATAACACTCACCTATCCCTGGGACTCCCTCTCTCCCTCTAAATAAACTTTGGATTTAAAACTGATTAGATGGGGCTCAAGATGAGCCCCTCCCTTGTCTGTATCCTTGTGGTTTGGGTAGGAGGAAGGTAAAGTTTCTGCAGACCGAGTTGTGGATCTGATGTGGGCTGAGGGAGGGATCTGGTGGCCTGTCTCTAGTGAGATCCTACTCCAGGTACCTCAGGACAAGCCTGGAGGGCTAACTAATCCTACTGGAACCTCATTTTTGGGCCCCAGGCCATGAGCCAATGGCCTGGGAAGAGCAGGTTAACGTGCTGGTCCCTAAACATGTCTAGCCAAGGTCTTCCAATCCCTGTCACTTTGACAAAACACAGAGAGGACCATAAGGATGCTACCAAGGTCATGAATTTGGGGAACCCAGAACTTTCCATCCGTACTGTGGAACTCCAATATTTGTGTGCACACAGTGGGGGGTGGGGCATAAATTCCTGTTACTTTCTCTGGGGCTATGGGTATTCCCTCATAATTTGAACAACCCTGGGCCTGGCAGAATATGGAGTCACTGCCTCTATCACGGTGATGAAGATGAACCTCTGACCATATGCAAAGGTGACAGCCTGCTCAGGTGACCTGGCTACTATTAAGTCCCCTGAGTGGGGACCATGATTTAGATCCTTGACCTCATGGGTCAAGGAGATAGATGGGAATGGAAGAAGGATTCTTGTTCCTCCTTAGGAACTGATTCTGGATTGGCCCTGAGGCTGGCGAATGGAGGCGATCGGTGTCAGGGCCGAGTGGAAGTCTTGTACCGAGGCTCCTGGGGCACCGTGTGTGACGACAACTGGGACACCAACGATGCGAACGTGGTCTGCAGACAGCTGGGCTGTGGCTGGGCCACGTCGGCCCCAGGAAATGCCCGGTTCGGCCAGGGCTCGGGACCGATTGTCTTGGATGACGTGCGCTGCTCGGGGCATGAGTCCTACCTGTGGAGCTGTCCCCACAATGGCTGGCTCTCCCATAACTGCGGCCACAGTGAGGATGCTGGTGTCACCTGCTCAGGTGGGTTTCCAAGACCTTGGGCCTCCTTCGCTTGGGTAGAGTTGGCTCAGGAGAAGCCTCCTTGTGTATGCTTATTTCCTCAGTGAAAGCTTTTTCTACATTCCCAGTATCTCTGAGGTCTCTTCATTTCTCTACTGAGAATCAGTGTGTGTTTTGTCACGCTGCCTGTTGTGGTGGTCAGTTAGGACAAAGGGCCAAGCAAAATGACAATCATGCCTGTATCCACTTACTGAGGCACTAGACGCAGGAGGGCAAAGATCTAATTGCTGTCTCCTTAGATTTCTGTCTTTCCCCTACTGAATGGTCCTGGTCGATAGTATGGTGGATGCAGCACAGATGGGCATGGGAGGGCAGGTATCATCTCATTTGGTTGTACCCTTGTAATGGGATTCTGTTTGAAAGTGGGGTCATCGTAGAACCCCTAGCATGGAAAGCTTCTAATGGGGGCACTTGGCTAAGAGTGTAGATTTGTGTACATGTTTGTTTTTCCTGGATTTTGGGGTGTCCGAATCCTTGCTCTCAACTCCCTCCAGAGAGTTGTTACAGGCATTCCCAGTCGCCAAAATTTGATTGGGTGGTGTGACCCCCAATCCCCTAGCCACGTACACTGCTAGTGCCGGCCTTGTGCTTTCCAATGGAAGGACTGGAGGATCACACATAGGATGTCGGGCTGGAACTGACCTTTTCAGAACTGCTGACTCAATAGACTGCTAAAGCTTTCAGATAGATGGTTGTTGAGGGGTCCACTTGGTCACCACACTCAGACAGAGTTGATCACCTTGAAGTTGGAAATAGTTGGTACTATGTGCCTAAACGCCTCAGAAGGAGCACGTTTATGGGAGAATGGAGGGCAACACCCCTTTCTCCATGATGGGAAAGAAGGCTGGCCCGAGGGCCTGACCTGTCAGTGCCTTCCAGCTTTGTCTTCATTTCGCACAAACCGTGCAGTGAGTCTGATGATCTTCTCTTTCTCACAGCTGTGGGGTCTAATACTCCACTCCCAACTGAGTCCCCACTGTCTGTGTGCTTACTTGTGATGTCAGTTCTCTTTCTCCCCTTGCGAATTCTTCCCCTACGTATTCTGTTTACAGATTCTCTGGAGCACCTTATGCCCTCACTCCCACACTCTGTAACGGAGACTCCCAGCAAGGAGTGTCTCAGTTAGACATCAGGATGTAAAAGCCTTCTGCTTTCTTGTCAGTCTCCTAGTTTTTATCTAGTTTGTTTCTGTCCCAGTGGATAACTCTTTCAGGTTCTGAAATGTAGCCACAAGTTCAATGAGCGTTGGCCCTTTTATATATATTCAGGGCTGTATACTTTTCCTGAGAACTGAGGTTGAAAGGCAATGTCAGTGCAGATCAGTTCTCCATTCTTCCGGAATCACCCCCAGATTCTGCAGGCTACACCTGCATCCAGGAGACGCAGAGGCTGTGCTTGAGAGACGGAGCAGGATCATAAACATTTCTAGTGCTTCCACTTCCCAGGAAACCTGATTCCCTCCTGGGTAGTCCCTGGTCCCATACCATTTTCTCTGTAGGTGTCAGAGTGTGGGCCATGGTGTCAGGTGTGCCCGTCTTCCATGTGTGGGGAGGGTCCAAGGATTTCCAGCTGAGAAGAGGACATCCTTGTCTTAGAGAGATGGAGAGTCCAGTGTGGTCTCCATATGGGCCTCAACCCATGGGAGAGCTTGGCATTCACTTAAGGAGTAAGGATCAGAATCCAAGAGGGGAGGTATTGTGATGTGGGGTGCTAGGGTCAGAGTGCCTTTTGTTCTTGGCATTTTTCCCTTCAAGTCTAATTCTAGTCTTTCTCCTTATTGCTATTTATAGACACTGTGCCTACCACGGCCATACCCGAAACACCAACAGGCAAGTAATCCTCTCAGCCATCCTTAGGGTTCATTCTTTAGTTTTTTCTTTTTTTGAATCAGGGCCTCATTCTGTTTGCCCAGGCTGGAGTACAGTAGCATGATCACAGCTCAGTGCCTTCTCCCCCTCCTGGCCTCAGACAGTCCTTTTGCCACAGACTTCACAGTCCCTGGGAGCACAGGCATGCACCACCATGCCTTGCCTATATTTTAAAAATTTTCTTTAGAAACGTGGTCTCACTATATTTCCTAGGCCAGTCTCAAACTCCTGAGCCATCCTCTCACCCCATCCTCCCAAGTACTGGGAATATAGGTGTGAGCCACCATGCCTCGCCAAGGGGTTCACTCTTTGCCTCTGAATAAACTTTGAATTTCACAGTGAAAAGATGGGGTCTAAGGTGAGCCCCTCGCTTTTTCTATGTCCCTATTGGTTGAGTAGGAAGGAAGGGGGAGTCTTTGCAGACCTAGTCTTGGGTCTTAGGTGAGATGGAGGAAGAAGCGGTTGACCTATGCGCTCCTGGAAATACCCAAATCTGTGAGCAGTTTGTGATCTTATTGGGACCTGGTTCTTGGCCCTAAGGCCACGGGCTGCAGGCCCAGGAAGAGTACATGATTCAGGCCAGTACCTCTGGCTGTTTGGCCTAGGTCCTGCCATTCCTGGCACTTTGCCAGAATCCAGATATGACCAGTTGACCATGCAGGTCTCTCCATGCTCCTGAACTTGAAGAGGTCAGAGCTTTCCACCTGTAGCTGTGGAGCTTTATCTCATGTGTGCCCAGAGTGGGGAGTGTGGTGTCCTTTCCCATCACCTCCACAGGGTCATGTGTTCATCACCATGACTTGAGCATCTCTAGACCTGGGTGGAATAGGGCATCACTGCTGTTTTCACTATGACCAAGATGGACCTCTGATCATATGCAAAGGGCACAGCCTGCTCAGGTGACCCGATTACTATTAAGTCCCCTGATTTAGACCCTTGAGCTCAAGATGGGGATGGATGAAGGGTTCTGGTGTCCTCCTTAGGAACTGATTCTGGATTGGCCCTGAGGCTGGCGAATGGAGGCGATCGGTGTCAGGGCCGAGTGGAAGTCTTGTACCGAGGCTCCTGGGGCACCGTGTGTGACGACAGCTGGGACACCAACGATGCGAACGTGGTCTGCAGACAGCTGGGCTGTGGCTGGGCCACGTCGGCCCCGGGAAATGCCCGGTTCGGCCAGGGCTCGGGACCGATTGTCTTGGATGACGTGCGCTGCTCGGGGCATGAGTCCTACCTGTGGAGCTGTCCCCACAATGGCTGGCTCTCCCATAACTGCGGCCACAGTGAGGATGCTGGTGTCATCTGCTCAGGTGGGTTTCCAAGACCATGGGCTTCCTTCTCTTGAGTAGAGATTGCGCAGGAGAAGTCTGCTCATTGCATGATGATTTCTTCACTGAAAACTTTTTCTATATTCCCAGTATTCCTGAGGTCTCTTTATTTCTATACTGAGAATCGGTGTGAGTTTTGTCATGCTCCCTGTTGAGGTGGCCAGTTAGGACAATGGGCCCAAGTGAAATCACAATCAAGCCTGTATCTACTTACTGAGGGAGTAAAAGGTCAAAGAGGGAGTTTTTGGTCCCCCAGGGTTCTTTCTTTCCCCTACTGAATGGTCCTGGGTGAGGTTGAGGTAGATGCATGCAGACGGGGGTGGTAAGATAGTTATCATCTCACTGGCATGAGCCCTTCCAAAGGGGCTCTGTTTGGAAGTGGAGTTATCTGCTGAAGCCCCAATGTGGAGACTTCCTAATGGTGACACATGGCTAAGAATATAGATTTTTTTATGTGTATGTTCGACTGTGCTTTGAGATGCCTGAGTCCTTGAACTGTACTCCCTTTGGAGTGCATTGCCTGTGGCTCAAGTCTAGTTGGGGAGCACACCCCACCACCCTCCAACCATGAAGCCTGTCAGTGCTAGTCTTGTGCTTTCCCGTGGCAGGGCTGGAGGATCACACATAGGATTTTTGGCCGGCATTGGCCTCTTCAGACCTGATGACTCAATGGGCTGCTCAAAACTTTTCAGATAGATGGTTGGTTTGGGGACCCCTTGGTCACCACACTGAGTTGATCACCTTGAAGTTGAAAATAGTTGGTAGTGTGTGCCTGGACCCCTCAGAAGGAGCACGTTTGTGGGAGAATAGAAGGCAGCACCCCTTTTTCCATGGTGGGAAAGAAGGCTGGCCTGAGTACCTGACTGCTCAGTGTCTTCCAGCTTTGTCTTCATTTCGCACCTACCGTGCAGTGAGTCTGACGTGACTTTTTCTTTCTCACAGCTGTCGGACCAAATTCTCCACTCCCAGGTGAGTCCCCACTGTCCGTGTGCTTACTTGAGATGTCAGTTCTCTTTCTCCCCTTGAGAATTCTTCCCCCACCACACAGAACCCTACGTATTCTGTTTGCAGACTCTGGAGCACATTATCCCCCCACCACCACACTCTGTAACCGAGTCTCCCAGCAAGGAGTTTCTCACCCAGACATCAGGATCTGGAAGGCTTCTGCTTTCTCGTCAATCACCTAGTTTTCATCAGAGTTTGATTCTGTCCCAGTGGATATCGCTTTTAAAATGGCTACAAGTTCAATGAGCGTTGGCCCTTTTATATTCAGGGCTGCATACTTTTCCTGAGAATTGAGGTCGATACCCTCTGACTTATTTGAAAGGCAATGTCAGTACAGGTCAGATTTCCATTCCTTCTGGAATCTCCCTCAGGTTTTGCAGGCTACACCTGCATCCAGGAGACGCAGAGGCTGTGCTTGGAAGACCGAGCAGGATCATAAACATTTCTAGTGCTTCCACTTCCCAGGAAACCCGATTCCCTCCTGGGTGGTCCCTGGTCCCATACCATTTTCTCTGTAGGTGTCAGAGTGTGGGCCATGGTGTCAGGTGTGCCCATCTTTCCAAGGGTGGGGAGGGTTCAAGGATTTCCAACTGAGAAGAGGACATCCTTGTCTTAGAGAGATGGAGAGACCAGAGTGGTCTCCATCTGGCACTCGGTCCGTGGGTGAGCTTGCTAGGAGTTGGGCAGTCATGTAAGGGGCAAGCAACAGAATCCAGGAGGGGATTTATTGTCATGTGTCATGCTGCGGTCAGAGTGCCTTTTGCTCTTGGCATTTTCCCTTCAGGTCTAATTCTAGCCCATCTCTTCACTGCTATTTACAGACACTGTGCCTACCACAGCCATACCTGAAACACCAATAGGTGAGTGATCCTCTCAGCCATCCTTAGGGTTCACTCTTCTGTATTGTCTTTTTTTGAATCGGGGCTTCACTTGTCACCCGTCTGGAGTATAGTAGCATGATTGCTCACTGCATTCTCCGCCGACTGGGCTCAGGCAGTCCTTCTGCCTCAGACTCCACAGTCTCTGGGAGCACGGGCATGCACCACCTTGCCTGGCTAGTCTTTCACAATTTTCTTTAGAGACGCGGTCTCACTATGTTTCCCAGACTCAAGTCATCCTCTCACCTCATCCTCCCAAAATGCTGGGAATATAGCCGTGAGCCACCATGCACGCCCAGGGGTTCGCACTATGCCTCTGAATAAACTTTGGCTTTCACAGTGAAAAGATGGGGCCCAAGGTGAGCCTCTCCCTTTTTCTAGGTCCCCATGTGTTGAGTGGGAATGAAGGTGGAGTCTCTGCAGACCAAGTTTTGGGTCTCCTGTGGGATTGTGGAGGAAGCTGGTGACCTGTGGGCTCTAGGCACTGCCTAAATCCACAAGCAGTTTGTAATCCGATTGGGACCTGGTTCCTGGCCCTCAGGCCATGCTGCGGGCCCAGGAAGAGTGCATGATTCAGGGTGCTTGGTTGTTGGGTTAGGTCCTGCCATTCCTGGCACTTTGCCAGTATCCAGACGTGACCACATGGCCATGCAGGTCTCCCCAAGCTCCTGAACATGAAGAGGACAGAGCTTTCCATCTGTAGCTATGCAGCTTCATCTTGCGTGTGCCCAGGGTGAGAAGTGTGGTGTCCATTCCTGTCACCTCCACTGGGTCAGGGGTTCATTCCCAGGACTTGAGTATTCCTAGACCTGGGTGGAATAGGGCATCACTGCTGCTTTCACTGTGACCAAGACTGACCTCTGACCATGTGCAAAGGAGACAGCCTGCTCAGGTGACCAGGCTGCTATTAAGTTCCCCGAGTGGGGACCGTGATTTAGACCCTTGAGCTCAAGATGGGGATGGATGAAGGGTTCTGGTGTCCTCCTTAGGAACTGATTCTGGATTGGCCCTGAGGCTGGCGAATGGAGGCGATCGGTGTCAGGGCCGAGTGGAAGTCTTGTACCGAGGCTCCTGGGGCACCGTGTGTGACGACAGCTGGGACACCAACGATGCGAACGTGGTCTGCAGACAGCTGGGCTGTGGCTGGGCCACGTCGGCCCCGAGAAATGCCCGGTTCGGCCAGGGCTCGGGACCGATTGTCTTGGATGACGTGCGCTGCTCGGGGCATGAGTCCTACCTGTGGAGCTGTCCCCACAATGGCTGGCTCTCCCATAACTGCGGCCACAGTGAGGATGCTGGTGTCATCTGCTCAGGTGGGTTTCCAAGACCTCCGGCCTCCTTCTCCTGGGTAGACTTTGCTCAGTAAAAGACTCCTCACTGCATTTTGATTTCTTCACTGAAATCGTTTTCTATATTCCCAGTATCTCTGAGGTCTTCGCAGCTCTCTACAGGGAATCAGTGTGAGTTTTGTCAAGCTGCCTGTTGAGGTGGTCAGTTAGGACAATGGGCCAAACTGAAATGATGATCAAGCCTGTATCTCCTTACTGAGGCACTGGGAGCAGGAGACCTAAGAGGAAATTGCTGGCCCCCCAGGGTACTATCTTTCCCCCCCGAATGGTCTTGAGTGAGGTTGAAGTCGTTGCACGCAGATGGGGCTGGTAAGGCAGTTATCATCTCACTGGTGTGAGTCCTTCAAAAGGAGTTCTGTTTGGAAGTGGGGTTATCAGCAGCGGAAGCCCCAACACAGAGACTTCCTAATGGTGGCTAAGAGTATAGATTTTTTATGTGTATTTCCGACTGTGTTTTGAGGTTCCTTGAGTCCTTGAGCTCAACTCCCTTTGGAGTGCATTGCTTATGGCTCAAGTCTGGTTGGGAGTGACAGTCCCCTGTGAAGCCTGTTAATGCAAACTTCGTACTTTAAATGGTGTGGATGGAAGATTACACACAGGATTTTTGTTGGCACTGGTCTCTCTGACCTGCTGACTTAATGGGCTGCTCAAACCTGTGAGGTATAGGTTTGGTTTTGGGTCTGCTTGGTCACCACACTCAGAAAGAGTTGATCATCTTGGAGTTGGAAATAGTGAACAGAATTTTCCTGGACATCTTACAAGGAGCATGTTTGCAGGGGTGTGGATGTCAACGTCCCTTTTTCCATGATGGGGGAGACCGGGACTGAGTGTCTGTTCTGCTCAATGCCTCCACCTTTGTTCCAATTTGCCACTTTTTGTGCAGTGATTCTGATCTGACCCTCTCTTTCTCACAGCGGTCCGACCCCAGTCCACGCCCAGGCCAGGTGAGTTCTGCTGTTTCTTAACTTGTGAGTCTTCCTACTCATCTCCAGAGCGCTAGACCAGTAGCTTTAGGGAGACTGTGGAGTTTTTCCACCTCCCATAATCCTCCTTGATCTTTTTAGAGTGTTTATGTGGTTCCAGTTGAGGCTCACTATCTTGGAGGTTTAAGAGCATTCCCAGTTCCTGACATGCTACACAGTGTCACCCAGCAAGTTTGTTGATAGGAGCAGACTCTGTCCTGAATCATTTTTGCTGGGAAGCATGGTCTGTGCCAAGAGTCACATGGGAAGGGAGAACAGAGATTTTTTTCATGTTTTATGTCCCAGATGAAGACTGAATGATGCTTCAGTCTGACTGAATCTGTCAGGAGAGAATTGTCATTGCCCTTTGTACAATGTCATTGCCATTGCATGGAATTGTCATTGCCATGTTGTGAACTTCCAAAGGCATGGTTTTGCTCATTTTAGGCTCTCTAGAAAAGACCTTTTTCTCCCTTAGCAACATACCTTCTCTGACTCTACTCTTCCTGATCCCAGTCAGAGATGACTAGGCCCAAGCTGGCTTCCCCAAACCTCCTTCTAATCCTGCTCTGTTTTTCCTTCCAGATTGGTGGTTTACCACAACTCCTTTCAATGGTAAGCATCTCTGAGTCCTGCCACAGCATCAACATTCAGCGCTCTAGTCAACAGGCTTGGGGGAAACTCCTGAGTCTTGCATGAAGCCTCTGGCCTCTCATCACTTCATCAAATGTGGAGGGCTCCCTTATCTACCAGTTGTGAATTGATCTGGAACAGGGATCTGCTGGTCAGAATACTTTTGTTTGCAAGTAACAGGAACACAACTCAAACTCTCTTGAACTAGAAAGGAAGTCATTGGCTTATATATCTAAAGTGTTTAGTGCTGGACCTGGAGATTTAGGTACAGCTGGATCCAGAAATTTCAAGTCTGTTTCCCTAAGCTTTTCTTACCTCTGGTCTTTTATTGGTGTGGGCTTTACTGTCAGCTTGCTTTTGGCACATAGGGAGAAAAGACAGCAGTGGCCACCCAAGTCCATATATCATGAGGAAAAAGAGTCAGTTTGTCTTTGTACCTCTGGCTGACAAGTCCGGGGAGAACTCTGATCAAACTGTTTGGCAACAAGCACCTTCTCTCAAACCATCTCTGGCATCTCTGTGTGCTCTAGTGGCCCAGCTAGAGTTGGGATATGGGCACTCGGCCCTACTTGAACCTTGCAGGATGCTTTTTTTTTTTTTTTTTTTAATAGAAAAGACTGTTTCTATTACAATAAAAAACAGAGCAGGAAACTTAAGACACAGAAAAAGTACTCCCTGTTGGAACCTTGCTTTTCTTTGATACTCTCTGCTGTTTGCTGACTGTGGTCATCCTCCTTTTACCAGATGAAGCCTTCCCTCTCCCTGAGTGTCAGCCCATGTCAGTGCTCTGCTTTTTAGCTGTCCTCTGTGACCCAGCATCAGGGTCTGAGCTGTCAGTGGAGAATCTGCAGAGGATCTTTGAGGGCCTCCATACGTGCTTTGGGCCTGCTGCCTGTCTTCAGTAGGGACAGTAGGAGTCAAAGCTCTTCCCTGCCTTGGCTCCACATAAGACCAGGATCCTGGACTCAGTGAGTCAGGATGGGAGAGTATGGCCAAATATTTACTAATCTCCTGTCCCACCAGCCTTTGGGCTTTCCCTACACTTCTGGGAGAGCATTGCAGATGGTGGGCTCTCCTGGTTTTAGATCAAACCCACCAGCAAAACTATACCTTCCAAGAAGAAATGTTGTTTTACCTTGTGGTCCAGGGACCTAATAATGGCCACATCTGCCAGTCACTGAAGACAACAGAGTCAGGGAAAACTTTTTCTATATTCAAGAACAGATTCCCAATGAGAGAATTAGTTGGGTTGATATGATGAGCTCATCCAGGAGCCTACTTTTTAAAAAAACTTCTCAAGAGACATTTTTATTTCTTAATGATATGAAATTGCAGGTCATTTGAATGTATTTGAATCTATCTTTCTCTTCATATTTATACAAGAGAGACCCAAAAAACCCCAAGTTTATTTTTTGGAGAGTAGACCCATTGTATTACAGTCTTCCCCCCACTAGGAAATTGTTCTAGGAACCCATTGGCATCAGTGTAGCAGTTAGCATTGTTGTGAGAGGCTGTGTTTGGTTTCAGTTAAAATTTTTAAAAGATTTTTTCAATGTGTTTGCCCATTTTATAATGAGTAATTTACAAGCACATGTGACCGCACTGCATTGAGTGGTCAGCAGTTTTTGACCAAAAATGGTGTGAACGCCATGTCCCATTCTCCCTATTTACCCAATCTCACCCCAAGCTGTGGCAGAGAGGGGGCTGGTAGCAGTTAAAAGTATTCCTTTTGAAAATCAAACGACAAACTGGGCTCCGTGGCTCAGTTTGTAATCCCACACCTTTGGGCAGCTGAGGTGAGTGGATTGCCTGAGCCTGCGGATTCGAGACCCACCTGGGCAGTGAGACCTCATCTCTACAATAAATCCCAAAATCAGCCTGGTGCAGTAGCGCATGGCTGTAATTCCGGCTACTTGGAAGGCTGAGGCGGAAGGATCTCCGGAGCCCAGTAGGTCGAGGCTGCAGTGGCCGGGAGCGGCCACTGCACTCCAGTCTGGGCGACAGAGTGATACTCCAACTCGAAAAATAAATGAATAAATAAATAAAATCAGCCAGGCGTGGTAGCGCGCGTCTGTAGTTCCAGCTACTTGGAAGGCTGTGGCGGAAGGATCTCCGGAGCCCAGTAGGTCGAGGCAGCGGTGGCCGGGAGCGGCCACTGCACTCCAGTCTGGGCAACAGAGTGAGACTCCAACTCAAAAAAAAAAAAAAAAGAAAAGAAAATCAAACGACAAACTCTGAAAACCTGCCAGACCAGTTTTGTTTGAGAAAAACCAAATAGCCAAGGACTGATGACTTTCATGGAAATGCAAAAGAGTAATTCACAAACTTATACAAAACCCCTCTTTTGAAGTTGACAGTTTACAACCCTACTCGCCCTGCATTTCCTGGAAACCATTTGTTCTTTGGAAATCTGATTTTGTTGAGTATAACCTTGTGAATTCCAAAGAAAATGAATAATCGCTCAACATGGCCCCCCTCCCTTACCTAAACAAAGGTATAAGACTCCTCTTCTCCCTTTCTGGGGGGCTTGACCTGGAAGTGTTAGCTGGTCGAGTCTGCCAGCATAATAAAGTTGCCACTTCCTATAATAGTCTCAGTGTCATGACCTCTCTGTCTTCCTGCTACAAAGCGACTTTTTTTTTTTGTTTCCCTGGATGGAAAAAGTCCTCAAAGGGAAAGTTTTGCTTATGTGGAAGAGTGAAACTAAAACAGGCAAAAGCACTAAAAGGCATCAAAATTGACGAGTTCAGAAACTGTTTTGAGCAGTGTGGAAAGCATCTTGATTGGTGTATTGCATCAAATGGGGAGTACTTTGAAGGTGACTGAAGTTTAAACATGTAAGAATAAATACACAATTTTTTATAAATAAATTCCAAGTTTTTTGTGTCTCCCCTCATTCTTATATATATGTAGTGGAGTTCCCATTAATATTATTTTCCTTTTATATTGTGGTAAAGTATATGCATAGCAAAAAATTTATCATTTTTAACAATTTTAAGGTGTACAACCCAGTGACATTGACTACATTCACAATATTGCACAACCATCACCACTACCTAGTTCCAGAGCTTTTTCATCAAATACCCATTAACCATTCACATCCTATTCCTTCCCCCACCCCCCCACCCCCAGCCTCTGGTAACCACTAATCTGCTTTTCTTTTTCTTTATAGTTTTCTCTGTTCTGGATATTTCCTATGAATGGAACTGTTACCTTTTGTGCCTGGCTTCTTTTACTTAGCATGATGCTTTCACAATTCATTCATATTGTAGTATGTGCCAGGACTTTATTCATTTTATTGCCAAATACTATTCCTTTGTATGGGATATTTCCTCTTCATTTGCCTGTTGATATACATTTGGGTCATTTCCTTCTTTGGCTATTGTGAATAATGCTGCTATGAGCATTAATGTACAGTTTTTTGTTTGAATGCCTGTTTCCAATTTGGGCGGTGTATACCTAGGAGTGGGATTACTGGATCTTGTGATAATTCCACATTTAACTTATTGTGGAAACACTGAACAGCAGTTCAGTGTTCAGAAACACTACAGCAGCTGCACCATTTTACATTTCAACCAGCAATGCTTGAGGGCTTTTGTTTCTCCAGGTGGTTGCCAACACTTACGTATCTTTTTCATGATGGTCATTCTAGTGGGTGTAAGATGGTATCTCATTGTGACTTTGATTTGCATTTCCCTGATGATTAATGATGCTGAGCATCTTTTCATGTGCTGGTGGGCATATGTTGTAAGAACAGAAGCCTCATTTTAGAGATGCTAAGTAGAAGGCCTGAGGAACCAGAGCACTTAGCCCAGCTCAAGGCTCCCAGGATAGTGTCCAGGTAGACTGAGGGATCACGATACCTGGCACAGTGATGTTTTTGGTGGAGGACTTTCCCCTATGGAGCCCTCTCACTACCATTTTTGCTCTCTTCCACTCTCAGACCATGGGCATATCTAGAAATGCACAGCTGTATCAGTAACAGTTAATGCCCATTGCCCCTGCAGCTCATGGTATTCAGTGAGTCCCCATTTTCTTTCAGATTCAGGGCAAACTTTGGGTTTGAAAGTGACATAAGAACAAGCCTCAGGACTGATAGGATAGTTCCTGTGAGCAAGGAGAGGCAGCTTGAGTAGAAGCTCCAAAGAGTTAAGTTCTAGGGCTGCTCCTTGGCAGGAGGCTGGGAGCCTGTCTCAGTGTCATCCGGCTCCAGGACCTCAGAGAGAAATCACCCAGTGATCACTGCAGATTCAGGCTGATGACTACCCCTTCACTCCTGCATACCGTGGCCTGGCTCAGCAATTTAATCGCTGGGCACCAAGGGGACTCAATCAGAGAATATGCATTGTTGAGTACATACCCAAGGGTCCTAGAAAACAACTCTTGAGGAAAATATGATAAATAACAGGCTTTTGTCAATGTTTGTGCTGCTGACATTCACTTGAGACCCAGAAACCTGGGTCTACTGAGCCTCGTGCGGACCTCAGAACCTCTTCCTTTAGGAGACACAGGTAAGAGTGAATTCTCATATCTCCTTCTAGGATCTGACTCCGAATTGGCCCTGAGGCTGGTGAATGGAGGGGACCGGTGTCAGGGCCGAGTGGAGGTCCGGTACCGAGGCTCCTGGGGTACCGTGTGTGACGACAACTGGGACACCAATGACGCCAATGTGGTCTGCAGGCAGCTGGGCTGTGGCTGGGCTACGTTGGCTCCAGGAAATGCCCGGTTTGGTCAGGGATCAGGACCAATTGTCCTGGACGACGTGCGCTGCTCAGGGCGTGAGTCCTACCTGTGGAGCTGTCCCCACAATGGCTGGCTCTCCCATAACTGTGGCCACAATGAGGATGCTGGTGTCATCTGCTCAGGTGGGCCTCCACGACCTCGGGCCTCCATTTTAGAATATGGTTTTCTCCAAGAAAGGGCTTCTTTGCACAAAGTCATCTCTCTTTGAGCTTCTCTGCAAGATGGGTGGTTCTCCTGATACCTCAACAGGGAAACACTGTCAGCAAATGTCTTTATTATCTTTGAATTTTATGGGTATGCCATAGCTTCTTCCTTACATAGGTTCCTACAGCAAACATGGGTTCAATCCACTTTCAGGTTGTAAGAATAAATTTCCCCCACACCTTTTTATGAGACTAACCTTAAGGCTTCTATCTACCACTCAGCTCTCCTGGATGACTCTCAGGGGACATTTCTAAGTGACAAGGTGGGGACACACACTCAGTGTTTCTCTTGCTCATCGTCTAGGGCACTGAGATTGACTCATGTTTCCTTCTTTTTCTTGCAGCTGCCCAAACAAATTCTACTACTCCTGGTGAGTCTGCCCTGCCTCAGCCTAGCACTATTCCTCTCGGGAATTCCACCCTCTCCTGTTTCCAGAAGTAGGAGGAATAGGACAGGCTCCCCTAGGGGTGATTTTTCTCAGAGAACACTAGAGTTTGTTAAGGTGCCAAGCTGAGCTCCCCCTCCTATTACTTTCATGTGTAGCTCAGCCTTGGGGAGGCCCTCTGGCCGCCTGCCGTTGCCCGCTGACAGCTCTTGCTCAGAGATGCTGCTGGTGGAAGGAGGCTTCAGACCTCCTGTCATCTCAGGTGAAAATAATTGTTTAAATTGGCCCATGGAGAATCGTCACCTCCGTTTAAAAATATGGGCAGGTAATACTTCTACGCATGTTTGTCAAATAAAGAATTTGTTCACTTTGAGAGAGTCATCCCCATAGTGTGCTTTGTGTTTGACTTTGTCTCTCAGACAAGTGACTACGGAATTGAAAAGCTTTCTAGTAAAATCCTAAAGCAGTTTCTTTTTTTTTTCTAGACTGGTGGCACCCCATAACTACAACCACTGAAGGTAAGTATTTCATATCCCCCCTGAACCTCAGGACATGCATTTCTTAACCCCAAGGCTGGTTATTCATGAAGTGGACCCCTGCTTCCCAGCCTTTCTAAGTCTGCGTGTACAACTTACCTGTGGCCTGTCCCACTACTGCCTACACCCAGCCTGCATACACACATCCTTTACACTTTGCCCTCTGGGAAGATGACTTATGTTTTAACTAAGTTCTGTTTCCTCTTCATTTGAATCAATGTGGTAAGTTCTTAAAGGCTTTTACTTTTGGAATTTCTCCAAAGCTTTGGGAGGAAGAGGGAGGCAAATAATGAATGGACAGTTTTACAAATAATAATTCTTTTCCATGTAACTTTTATTTTACAGTATGAATGTGTTTCAATAGATTTTTGTATCTCTTAACAATCATGTGGCTACTTTTCTGTGTCATTAAATCTTTTCTCACAATCATTTTATTTTTATATTCTTTTAAAATTTTTATTTTAAAGATGTGGGATACAATTCAGGGTTAGGTACACAAGTGGTCATCGTACAGGTAAAGTTTGGGTGCCTTTATTGATGTTCTGTGCTCCCTCACATTCCCTGGCCCTGTTCTACTACTGCCAACCCCTTTCTTATAGTACTGTGATAATTGTTCAAGGTCAGCTTACAAGTGAGTACATGTAGTCCTCAGATCTTTGTTTCTTCTCACAGTCATTTTAAATGCCTGTTCATGGCATATTGCACAGCTATGCCATGAATGATTTGACTAATCCCCAGCTGCTGGATATTTAAGTTGTTTTTATTTCTTCATTAGTTTAGATAATTTTGTGATAAAGAACATTTGTATAGGTAATCTTTGCATATGTCACTATTTTTTTGCTTTAGGATTGAAATAGATTTACTGGAGTAAAGTTAACATAGTTCCTGGTACATAGAATGTACTTAATAATTATTTACTCTTACTGTGCTAAGTATTTTAAGATCTTGCTGTGTATGATCAATGTGCCATCAAGAATGGTTGTTAAATTACAGAATGATAAAAAAGACAAGCTGATCTCCTACCTCAGAGCTCACAATATTAAATATTTAATACAGAATTAACTAGGGAATTACAGTTGTGACAAGCGTTTCCAAGGTAATGTTCAGTGTGCAAAAAGGACATATTAGCAGAGACCTTTGTCAATCTGGGAGTTAGGGGAAGTTCTTTATGGAAGTGACGCTTAAGCTGGGACTTATAACAGGAGCAGGTTCATTTGCTAAAGTGTCTCCCAGCCAGAAGGAATGCTTTGAAGGCCTTAGTGTGAGAAGGAGCTTGACTCTTTGAAGGAAGACAGGTGGGGGTGGGAGGGACTGCAGGAGAGTTGAGTGAGGCTGGATTATTTAGGGCCTTGTGAAAAGGTTAATTTTCCTGACTTTATGCTAAGGGTAATGGGGGCTACACAAAGGTTTTAAGCTGAGGAATTGCACAATTAGAAATGTATTTGCAAAAGACTATGCTCATCTTTCCTGCCACACTGTGTGTTTTCTGAAGGCAAAGACCATGTCTACCTTTTTCATAATATATCCTTATTATCTAGCATTGTGTCTGACTTTCAAGAAATATTTGTTGGAAGAATAAATAATGAGTGAATGAACAAATAAAACAGTGAATAAATATATAATTACCATTGGCATTTCTGCATACATTATACACACACACATACACACAGTCTAGCATACTTCACACCCCATGTAATAACATCCATTTTCATTTACGTGCATGTAATAAAAAACTTTTTATGACCTTAAAATTGGCTTTTTTATGGCATTGAAATTACTTCCATACCAAAAGGTTTAATGACTGCACAAGTTTTCATTGTATGGCTATATCATAATTTAGTTAAGCAATTACTAATTGTGGGGCAAAAATAGTTTCTAATTATATTTTATAATCTTATATACAATAACATATTTTATTGTATAACAATTTCTATTCAATTTTTATAAATCTGTAATTCATATCCTTGTCTCTAAATCTGTGACTTTGTCTGTGATTATTTCCCAGTGTAGAAATAAAATTGCTGGGTAGGCATATTTTAGAGGCCAAATTATCTTAAGAAACACTGTCTTCCTACAGAATTGGAGAAAATATTTGTAAATTATACAATCTGATCAGGAATATAGCTAGAATATATTAGTATCTCTTATTATTCAATAATAAAAAGTCAAATAACCCAATTAAAAAATGGGCAAAAGATCTGAATAGATATTTCTCTACAGAAGATATATAAATATCCAACAAGGCATTGAAAATATGCTCAGCAAATCATGAATTTCACAGCAACCTGGATGGAACTAGAGTCTATAATACTGAGTGACCTCTCACAGAAACAAAGATCTGAGTATCACATGTTCTCACTCATATAATGGACCTTGAACATCCAATGTAATACTATAAGAAAATGACTGACGGTACTGGGAAACTATGGGGGGGGAGGGAGATGGGATTAACAGTAGCAAATATCTGTCTGGGGATGGGGAAACACCTCTTATCAACAGGGTGCCTGAATGAAACGTAATTGTACACCTAACCCTTAACTGTACCCCACAACATCATAATAAAAAATATTGATAAAAAAAAGGAAATATGCTCAGCATCATTAGACATCAGGGAGATGTAAATGAAAACCCCATAAAGAGATACCATTTCAGACCCAGTAGGTTAGCTATAATCAAAATGTCTGATAGTGACAAGTACTGGTGGAGATGTGGAGAAACTGGAACCCTTGTACACTGTTGGTGGGGATGTAAAGTGCAGTAGTCACTTTGAGAAGCAGTTTTGTGATTATTTAAAAAGTTAAACCTGGAGTCACCGTATGACCCAGCAATTTTACTCCAAGGCACATATCCCAGTAGAAATGAAAGAATATGTCTATACAGAAACTTGTACATGAATGCTCAGAACAGCATTATCCGTAATGACTAAAAAGTGAAAACAACCCAAATATTTATTATGGTGACTCAATAAACAAATGTGGTGTATCCATCAATGGAGTATTATTTGACAATAAAAATGAGTTGAATACTGATTTATGCTAATAACATGGATGAACTTTGAAAACATGCTAAGTGAAAGAAACCAGTAAAAAAAACAAAACAAAAACCTACCTACTGTATAATCTCATTTATATAAAATGTCCAGAATAGGCAAGTTTATAAAGACAGAAAGGTAGATCAAAGGTTGTCAGGGGCTGAGGGTGTTGATGGGAAACGGAGAATGACTGTTAGTGGGATTGGGTTTCTTTTTGGGTGAGGAAAATATTCTAAGATTGTGGTAGTGATTTCACAACTTCTGAATATGGAAAAAAATCATTGAATTGTACACTTTAGGAAAAGTAAACAAAAGAGTTATAAAAAAGGAAAAGTTTCCATTCATATCACCACAGCATGTGAAAATGTTCTTAAAAGTTCTGTTACAATACATCAACCAACAAAAATTTGAATGCTTAGTATTTACTCTTCTCTGATAAATAACAATAGCTAATAATGCTAGATGCTTATTATGTGTCAGGTACTAAGAGCTCATATAGACATATAATCATATCATATATATGTGTGTGTGTGTATATATATATACACACACACACATATATATTTAATATCCATAAGAGTCTGATGAGGCAGATACCATTACTACTCCCATTATTCCAATGATGAAATTAAGGCAGGGAGGTTAAGATAATTGCTCACGATCATAGAGCTGATAGAGGCAAAGTCAAGATGCAGATGCAGGCTTTCTGTTGCAGAAACTCTGCTCCTGACGACACTTTGCACTGCTTGTCCAGTGGCAGAATCCTGTGCTCATGGGAGACTCTAAGGAATACATTGTATTATAGAGTACTCCCCCTTAGCCAGCTGCTACGCTTAGCCAGTACTATCCCTATGACCTTCTCTATAGATGATTGAATGGTGATAGCAATCCATTTGTTGCTTTCTTGGCATTTTTGTTTCAAGGTGACACAAGTTCCCTCTGAAGCACAGGTCACCTCCTCCCAGAGGATTGCTGTCCAGGCTCAACGGGAAAGGCAGAGACTCAAATCAAGGCTTCTAATGTCAGGCAGTCTAGAACTAGGCTCGAAAGAGGGGACCTGTTTACAGGAAAAATTAAGTCATGTTATAAAGTGCAGAAGATAAAACCAGGAAGACCTACTCAGAAGATGATTGCTTCATGACATGCCTGAAGACTTACCTCAATGGAAGTGATCCCTCTCTCCTCTATAGGACCCTCTTCACATTGTGGTGGCTTCTTATTTAATGCCAGTGGGACATTCTCCAGCCCATTCTACCCTGGATACTACCCCAACAATGCTAAATGTGTCTGGGAAATAGAAGTGCATTCTGGTTATCGCATAAATCTGGGCTTCAGTGATTTGCAGTAAGTAATGCCTGGTCATCCGGTGAAGGTGCAGGGGGTGGGGGTGCCCTCCACAGCACACCCACTGGTCTAGGCTGTTCTAGGCTAGGATGCTTTTCACTCTCACGTGCCATGGACAAGCCTCTGGTTGCTCTGACTCCTATCATGAAGCATCAGGCAACGTTGGGAGGTCCTTTGATTTGACTGAATAAGAGTTAGAAGAAAAATTATACCCAACAGCCTCACTCATAAAGTCCAAACTATCTGTGAAATAGAGGGGCAATAGGAATTTCAACATTGGCTTGAATACATTTTGTCCATACAGGTTGGAACTGCATAGTAACTGCCATTATGATTACATTGAAATATTTGATGGATCATTGAACAGCAGTAATCTGCTGGGGAAAATATGTAATGCCACCAGGCAAATATTTACATCTTCTTACAATCGAATGACCATTCGATTTCGAAGTGACATCAGTTTCCAGAACACCGGCTTTTTGGCTTGGTATAACTCCTTTCCAAGAGGTAAGTGCAAACTAGTCTTGGCCTGACAGAGGCTTGGTGGATCTATACAGCCCCTTTGTGGTTTTGGGGGGAAATCAAAGCGAGGCTTCAGTGATGTGTTGTCTTTTCTCCTCTCACGGCAGACCATGTGAACCTTGGGAGGGGTAGGCCATTAGCAAGGAAGTGAGGTGTACACACACAAGGACACACCTGGCTTTGGCCAGTTGGTGGCAACCAACTCCCCAGGGAACCTGGTGACTCTTCTTGCTGAGTATTCCTCCCCATCTGGAGGTGAGGGGGTCTGAGCTCTGTGATGTCTGGAGCTCCTTCCAGCTTTGCCTTGCATGGTGCAGACATTTCCGCATTTTTATCTTGACGGTTCCACATTTCCATTTGGTGTCTTTGGGGGCAGGGGAAAGACTAGGACTTTAAGGTTTGTCACGGGACATTTATTTGTTGTGGGACATGGCTCTCATCTTTCACTGTGTGTATCTTTCAGATGCCATCATGAGCTTGATCAACTTAAATTCGTCCTATGGTTTATGTGCTGGGCGTGTGGAAATTTACCACAATGGCAGGTGGGGGTCAGTTTGTGATGACTTCTGGACCATTCAGGATGCTGAGGTGGTCTGCAGACAGATGGGATGTGGATACGCAGTCTCCGCCCTCGGAAATGCCTACTTTGGTTCCGGCAATGACTCTATCACCCTGAGCAACGTGGAGTGCTCAGGGACAGAATCCACTCTCTGGCAGTGCCAGAACCAAGGCTGGTTCTCCCATAACTGTGGTCACCACCAAGATGTTGGTGTCATCTGCTCAGGTATGGCATAAAGCGAGAGCTTAATGCTATTTGTTGATGATGTCTGTGACTCAGTGCTGGAGCTGGGGTGGGCAGGAGCTTGTCAGCTTGTTCCTGTGGCCTGTCAACTCCAGAAGACCATGCAGAGGGTCATTTTATCTTTGGCCAGTTTCTCTGCCCAGTGCTATTATGCTGAACATTTATCTGATTTCATGATGTTCAGCAATGATTTAATTTCTCTCAGTTTCTGTTTCCTTGATGATTAATTGAAGGTGATCACGATAGTACTTGCTGCCAATGACAATTGGGATGATATTAGAATATTTCTGAGCAAGTAGAAAGTGATGGTTATTATGACCTCGGCTGTGATCCTGATGACTCCAAATAATGACAGAGCATGGGGACAGCCAGGAAACCCACTTAGGCCTCTTGACAGCAGTCACTCGGTGGACCATGGGTACACTCACCGACGGGGGTCAGATTATGAGTCACATATGTATGTCTCTACCTTGTTCTGGCCACTCCTCCCAGCCACACTTTTGTGACCTATGCTTTTCTTCTTTTTTTTTAGGAAACCAGCCTCCGACACATGGTTAGTGCTCACGATTTCCTTCTCCCTTCTGGGGTCTCCAGGTCATTCCACTGCTGTCGCCTAGACTGTTCAGGGCATGTTGCTCACACTCCAAGGAGTTTATCTGTGTGTCTTCCTGGGTACACTGCATCCCCTGAGGCTGATGTCCTCACCCTTGCAGGATGTCAGGATGGTGCCCTCTCTGTCCTTCAGTGGCCTGGCTCACCACCTAAGATTCAAATCTCCTGTCAGTCTCAAGGCGAGGCCTGCCATCTATTAGGTCTGCCTGATCTTCCAGACACCAGACCTTGTCAGTGTAGACTAAATGGGGCCTGCTGCATCAGTGAGTTCAGTGTGTAATGGGCCATGGCTCCTGCTTATCTGCCCCTGAGCTGCTTGAAGTGCTCCCAGCACACCCCTGGATCCTCAGGTCCTTCCCTGCCCTCCTCCTCTTCATTACCTTCTTACCATCTCCTGGCTTTTGAGCTGCTCCAGACCTGTCTCCTCTGGTCCATTCTCCACTGTGCAGCCTTCAAGTGATTCCTCAGGGCCTTCTGGTAAAGATCTCTCTCTCTCTCTCTCTCTCTCTCTCTCTCTCTCTCTCTGTCTCTTCAGCTTGACCACCAGGGCTCCCCATGATTCACTCCCTTTGTTTGGTGCCTTCTCTTCCTCCTGTCCCTGCTCCATCCACCTGGAGGCTCCCAAATCACTCCTACCAGAGTCCCTCTGCACATGCTGTTCCTCTGCATGGGACAGCCCTTTCCACCTCTGCCTGCTCCCTGATTACTATTCTCTTTTCCCCACTCAGTCTGGGTCAGAATCAAGCTTCTGGGCTCCCTTCCTTCCCTACTCTTCAATCTCAGCCTCATTCTGCTCTATTGGGATTCCTCTTCTCCAGACTGTGAGCTCCCTGAGGGCAAGGCTTGTGTCTAGCTGCTCCCTGTAGACCCAGGGTTAGTGCAGGGTCTACGCAGGCAACAAGTACTCAACAGTTGTGTTAAGGATGCCAGAAATGTGACGATAATTTTTTCTTTTTGTCAACAGCTCCTGTTCACAACTTCACCCTCCCAAACAGTAAGTCCTGAGCTCCCTGACAGGTCTGTGCATAGGTGCCTGGAAATCCCCATTTCTTTTCCCTCAATGGCAATGGCATCAGGGAGGGATGGTACAAATGATGAGGAGACAGCTTCCCTAAGCTTCCCTTCCCTGGAAGGGTGTCCCTATCAACCCTCAGGAAATGGTCCATATCCAGGACACCTCTTGTTGCTCTTATTTGGTTTCTGTCTTTGGAACTGTTTTTTTTTTTTTTTTTAATCTCCTCCAGATGCCGGTGCAGTGTTCTCTGAGGGTCACCAGCATGTTCATTTTGTTCCGACAGCAAATTATTCCTGTGGAGGCTTCCTGTCCCGACCATCAGGGCGTTTTTCCAGCCCATTCTATCCTGGGAACTATCCGAACAATGCCAACTGTGTGTGGGACATTGAAGTTCAAAACAACTACCGTGTGACTGTGGTCTTCAGAGATGTCCAGTAAGTGTGTGAGTGCAAAGCAGAGTGCATCGGGAACCTCACAGACGTTTTGAGAGGGAATACGTGGTACCTAAACTTCAGGAGGGATGTTTGTCCAGGTGACATTTTTTATTATGGGTTCAATTTTTGACCTAGCACGGAGGCAGCTCATAGAGGGTAAAGGAGTGGAGATAGGCACCCTGGAGTGGACAAGCGCTCTGGTTTAAACTTCCATGTCTGTCTCTAATTTGCTGTGTGACCACAAGAAGTCATTCAACTTTCCTGAGCCTCAGTCCGAAAGAGGAATAAATACCTGCTTTCCTCACTTCATTGGTTCCTGGAAAGGTCACAGAGAGAGATATATGTGAACATATTGAATTTTTTCGAGTGCCCTGCCCTAATTTCTTCTCTAAAAGCCACTGATGGATAAAATCTTTTTCTTTCTTGGTTTCCCTTTGTAGTGGCCTTTGGAGTCTCTGCCCTAGTAATTCATTTGGGGTTTTGTTTTTTGTTCTTTTTTTCATTAATCAGTATTTTTTATTATGGTTTTGTGGGGTACAGTTAAGGGTTAGGTGTACAATTACGTTTCATTCAGGCACCCTGTTGATAAGAGGTGTTTTCCCATCCCCCGACAGATATTTGCTACTGTTAATTCCATTCCCCTCCCCCGCATAGTTTCCCAGTACTGTCAGTCATTTTCTTATAGTATTGCATTGGATGTTCGAGGTCCATTATATGAGTGAGAACATGTGATATTCGGATCTTTGTTTCTGTGAGAGGTCACTCAGTATTATAGACTCTAGTTCCATCCAGGTTGCAGTGAAATTCATGATTTTGTTCTTTTTTATGGCTGCGTAGTATTCCATCGTGTATATGTACCACATTTTTTAAATCCAGTCCTCTTTTGATGGGCAGCGTGGTTTTTCAAAAGATACGTTATTTTAATTTCTTTGTCATTGCAATGCAAATAGTGCACTTACAACTCATGAAATCCTATGAGAAAAGCTTGACCATGACTAGTTCTTTAACCAGCATATTGATAGGAATAACCTTCACCATCTATGGCATTTTTTTTTTTTTTGAGTCAGGATTTCACTCTGTCACTGGAGTGCAGTGGCACTATCACAGCGTACTGCAGCCTCAACCTCCTGGGATCAGGCGATTCTTCTTCCTAAGCCTCCCAAGTAGCTGGGTCTATAGATGCACACCACCACACCTGGCTAGTTGTTTTGATTTGTTTTTGTAGAGGCAAGGTCTTGCTGTGCTGCCCAAGCTGGTCTGGACTCCTGGGCTCAAGCAATCTTCCCATGTTGACCACCCAAAGTGCTTGGATTACAAGCATGAGTCACCATGCCCAGCCTATTTGTGACATTTTTATAAAGCATTTTTCTATATGCTATTTCATTTGAGTCTCACAAAAGCCCTCTTCAGCATGCATGGATGGGTTTATTTTGCCTTTGTAAGTATAAAACCTGAGCTTCAGAGAGGTTATTTGACTTTCCCCATATTTATTTACTCAATTATTTATTTCTAGCACTATAAGCTTGGGTATTTTTGTTGTTGTTTTTTTTTCTGTGGGGAAACTGGGGACTTTTTGATGGAAGAAAACGATCTAAACCAGGAGATGAACTTTTCCTTTTTTGATGTAAAGGGCTGTCATGAGAGGGGCTGTAGATTTCATATGTGTGGCCCCAAATGGCAAGACTAAGACCCATGTGTGGAGGTCATGGGGAGATGCTGCTTCCTTGATTAAAGAAAATCCATTATGTTCAATGACTAAATTTGCCAGAGTTTCCAGCACTGAGGTATGACTCCTCACTGAGAACTGACCTTCTGCATCAAATTCTTTGTGAAAGTGAAGCCAAAATGGTGTGTCTTACTCTGCAGGCTTGAAGGTGGCTGCAACTATGATTACATTGAAGTTTTTGACGGCCCCTACCACAGTTCCCCTCTCATTGCTCGCGTTTGTGATGGAGCCAGAGGCGCCTTCATTTCATCATCAAACTTCATGTCGGTTCGCTTCATCAGTGATGGCAGCATCACAAAGAAAGGGTTCCAGGCTGAGTACTATTCCAGCCCTTCCAATGACAGCACCAGTAAGTGCTCCTGTGGGAATGCTCGGTTAAGATGTGGACATTTCGGAAGCCTTCTGTGGTTCAATTGCCCTGTAGTTGTAAAATACAAAATTAGAGTGATCTTGTCAGGTCACCAAGGCTTTATTTTCTGCTGAAAGGAGCCAGAAGCAATGGGCCTGGGGACTCTGGCTGCCCAGAAATGAGGTCAAGGACAGAACTAGCTGATGGGCAGTGCTTGACCTTACTGTGGAGAGCAGAGACTAAGTAGGAGGTGCAACATGGTGCTCATAGCAGACAGTGAGAAGTCAGTGCCCAAGGCAGAGGTGATGCCTTGTGACCTTCCCAGAGTGCAAGACACTGGCCATGTTCTGAGACCTAACGCATTTGGCTTCTGTCTGAGTATGGACTGAGCTGGTCACTCGGTCACTTCCAGCAGAGGCTGTATGACCATGATTTGAGTTGTTATATGGACTGATGTATAGCTTGGCCAAGAACTGGGCAAGGTGGTGTTCAAGTTCTCTTACATAGTTTTTTATATAGTCAGGATAAAAGGCTATTTCATGACATCACAATTTGACTATAGAGTTACTTACTTTATGGATAAAGTAAGTATGGATGTGGTCACTTGGCAACACATTTTATTTACTTAAAATCTTGGCTCCAATTCTCCATCAGAGAAATCCTGAGTCCATGTGCCCTCTGGGTGTGCATACTTACTTTATGGTTAAAGTAAGTATGGATGTGGTCACTTGGCAACACATTTTATTACTTAAAATCTTGGCTCCAATTCTCCATCAGAGAAATCCTGAGTCCATGTGCCCACTGGGTGTGCATGAGGATGGTGCTGACTTGACCATAGGGTACTTGGGTTTGCAGTGAGGTCTGTTCAGTGCATGCATCCCAAGTGCTGACCATCCTTGTCAGCAATCCGTGTTCCTTTAAGTGAAAAGTGTGCCTTGTAGGACCGATGAGGTTTGGGCTGCTGATTGAGTGCATTATCTGTCCTTGTCCATCAGACCTGCTTTGTCTGCCGAATCACATGCAAGCCAGTGTTAGCAGGCGCTACCTCCAATCCCAGGGCTATTCTGCCAGGGACCTTGTCATTTCTGGTTGGAATGGGAACTACCGGTGTCAACCCCAAATCACACCGAGTCAGGTGATATTCAAGATTCCCTATTCAGGCTGCGGCACCATCAAGCAGGTAAGCCTGGGGCTTCCCACTCTTTTTCCTGCTGAACGGGCTTTCTTGTAGTGATGCATGCTGTACTTCCTGAATTCTGGGGATTCGGAAGTTATGATTTTGATGTAAATCAGGACATAATCAGAATCAAGGAATATACACATATTTTGTGCCATGACATAGCTACAGCCACCTCCAGACAGGAGGAAGGAAGCCCAGTAGCAGAGTCTTTCTGGCTGTAACAACAGCAGCTCTCAGGGCAGCTCCTGGTTTTTCAGGGACTAAAGCTTATGTGGTTTGGGGTTGGGATGGGTGAGATGGGCAAGGGCCTCATCAAGCCAAAGGATATAAATATATATTACTTCTGGAAATTTTGCAAAAACATATGGCTATGTAAATACATTGTTAGGCCTTGGAGGAGGGCCTGTGTGCTGGGCTGGAGGTGGAGGGAGTCTAAGACTTAAGCTTCATTAGCTTCACAGTGCATTGGCCTCTGCAGCCACCATTTGCTGAGCCATCACCATCTCGGGAGACCAACCACCCCCACCATAAGAGACAAGCAGGTTGCCCGAGGTCACTCAGTCATGAAGTGGTAGGGCCAATGCCAGCATCTGAGTATCTCAAAAACGTTAGGCTGGGTGAAAAAAGTCAGACACAGAAGAGTACATGCTCTATGGTTCCATTTATATAAAATTTATAAATGGAGAGTAAGTATGCAATGACAAAGCTAATCAGTGGTTGCCTGCTGCCAGCGGGGACGGAATCAACAGCAGAGAGACAGGAGGGAGCTGTTTGGGCATGGGTGTGATCAGCACCTCACTGTGGTGGAGATCACACTGTCAAGCTTCATCTGCCATAAGTACATTTCATCTTATGTAAACTTATTATAAATTAACCATACTAAATTCCAAATTTCTAAATAGTTATTTCAAGATTTTGTCTTTCAAGGACAGGAAAAGTGCCAGTGCTTTTATTTGGCTTAGGATGACAGCAAATACACAGAGTGAAAGACTCAGCTGTGTGCAGTGCATGTGATACACATGTTCAGATGACTGCAGTCTGTTGGCATCATGTTCATTCACCAAAGACATATTGAGCACTTGCTGCATGCAGGCACTGTGCTGGGTGCTAAGGTGATGCTGTTTATGACCTGGCAAAGCCATTCCTTTTCCTTTTGCACACAAGAAACACTGCGAGAGGCAAGGTCACTCATTTAGCTAACTGGATGGGCCCACTGGCCAGGATGCCTGTGTCTGAGGGCCTGGATTTGGCATGTGGTCACTCAGCTTCCTTAATCAGACCCCGACACACCCTTCCTCCTTCTGAGAGGAATGTAGTGGGTCAGGTAGACTTACTTGCAGGGATGTACAGATATTGGTCATGTCACCTAAGTGTTCTATTCAGCCTGACTTTTCTATTTTGCCCTATAGGTTAATCATGTTGGGTTCTGGTTTGTCATGAGTTTGTTCAGTGAGAGTCAGTCCAATGAAGGTGATCATTGCTCCTTTTTCCAGTGTGCAGCCTGAAGACTCTGACAGCTGAGAGAGCCCAGTGATAGCCCTTCATACCCACTTGGAGCAGCCAAACCACCTTGTTCCTTCTGACTTGGCTGACCATAGGCAGCATATACCACATTCTTATTCTGCTGTTTATCTAAATACCCATATCGCCTACCGAACTGAGTGCCTCCAGGGTGGAGCCACTGTTTTGTTCACCTTTGCAGCCCCCAGTGTCCCTGGTACAGTGCCCAAGACTTCATCATAATACCATTAGCAGCTCATATGGAAGCTGGGCACTGAGCTAAGAGTGCTACATGACTTTAAAAATTTTCGGGACAACTGCAGTCCCCATTTAATCTTGAGGCAACAGAGGCTTACAAAAGGTAAACCACTTGCCTAAGACCACATGGCCATGACCTGTGGGGCCAGGATACAGAGGCAGGGGACTGTGTGATCCCTGACAGGGGCTTCCAATAACTCCATCGGGTTGTCCTGGTTTGTGGGTGTGAGCCAAACATTTGCTGGTGTGGCTGAATTAGATGAGGTCCTCCCATCGTGAGAGGGATCCTAAGGCAGGAAGAGTCCACGTCTCTGTGGGAATATCAGCTGACTTGTCTGCAAGACTTTCCATTACGTACCGGGTTGACTTCCTTCCAAACTGAGCAGACGTCTAATAATGAGTTTTAATCTAAAATTAGAACTGCTTTCCTGACCAAGAAATAAATCTGCACTCCACGTTCACAGTTTGGAGCGGATTCAGAATTTAGCTTGGTCTTAGAAACCATAGACAAATGTGGATTCCATGGAAATGTTTGTGTTAATGTACACAGTTCAATTGAAAGCACTTGAGCTTGTCTTTGAAAGAGTAAGAAGGTGACAAAAATCATATGGTTTACTGTTTCAAGCATTGGCACTGAAATAGAAAGCAAAAGTATTTTTAGGAAAGTTTAAAGGCGGAACATACAACTTGCTCAGAGCAGACGGAGAACATAGCCAGTTCTGGGGGGTTCCTCTCCAGACCTGGGCCCAGAGTGTGGGCTCTAGCGCCCCCTGCCGGCCACAATGACCTGCCTCAGGCTTCTGGCTAGTCTGAGAAAAGGCAACTGAGAGAGAGAGATGGGGGAAGGAGGGGCAGGGGACGGACGTGGCCAAACCAGTTTAAGTTTATTGTTAAGCTTTTCTCTTTTCACAAGTTTTGTCTGCAAAGGGCATATTTGGAATACAGTTCTGCAACCTCAGGCAAGTAGTGGAAGACCCTCCAACATATTCTGTTCCAAAGAGTAATTATATTAAGTTGTACAAGTGCTGGCTTCAGATGGACCTTGTTTAGTGTCCCAGCCTGCCAGGAGTGGATTTTTGCCCTTGGCAATGTACATGACTTAAATAGCAAACTTCTCTCTCTCTCTTTTTGAAGAGTACGTTTTCCTGACATTTTAGGACTTCTGTTTAGGGCACCATGGTGTTGTTTTCATTTCCATTCCTATAAAAGCACCCATGGCATGCTGAGACTCATATCGTAAGCATCTGTGGTATGCTGGCAATCATGCCGTACCAGACTGGGAGGAGTTTGCGTCTGACCATCACAGCATTTGGGAGGGGAAGAATTCCCTGCAGTCTCCAGTCTGACGATTCCTCCTGTGTGCTCACCTCACTTGGAGCCAGATAGCCATGACCGCGGAGCTTCAGGGCTCCCTGTTCACCTGTGTCCTCTTGGCCAGTTGGACCGACTGCTCCCGGCCCTGCCCTCCGTGCATCAAGTACTCTTGCTGGGCTTCTGCCCCTGCACCGTTTTCATGCATTCCATAGATACTTAATGCTACTGATGCTACTGGTGACACTATGCTAAGTGCTGGAGAAAAGATGTCTAGACATCATCCCTTCTTTGAGGGATGATGAGGCCCCCGGGTGTAAGGCTCTCATGTCTGGAAAGGTCCCTCTCAAGACATCAGCGGCACATCGGGCAGCATGAGAGACCAACATTCTTTTGAATTTGCCAGTGAAAGGCACAGTAGGAAATGATCCCGTGCTGTGAGGACAGGAACTGCTGTGGTGTTGTCGTGGCCCACTCAGTTGGCCCCATGAGTCTCTGGGAAAGCCCCTAAACCCAGAGGCCAGTACCTGCCACAGTTATAACTTTGGAACTCTATGGCTTCCAGCTGCTATAGCTTCAGATGCTAAGCTGAAGCTATCAATTCGGCAAAACAGAAAGCAAAAGTGATCGCATCAAGCCCTCCCCACAAATATGTGACTGCCTTCTCCCAGTACCCCCTGCAATAGTGAAAATGAAACAGAATAAGCCAGAGCCCTGAGGCATGGAGTCCACATTCAGCTGGTTATATGGCAGGAGAAGGGGTCATCCAGACACAGCCATCTTACCACGAGGAGGAATTCCCAGAAACCCCCAAAACTAGCTCACACCGTGGTCCTCATCGTGGGGTAGAGGAAGTGAGCAAGTGTGAAAGAAGGGCAGTCTTGCTCGCCTAGCTGGACATACAGCCCAAGTAATAGTAGCCTTAGGCATAAGCATGTGCCATCTCTGTGCGGTTCTGGGAGGAACCGGAAGTCTTGTTGAATCACTTCCCTCTCGTTCTAACCTAAATTGGCCGTGGTATTCCCTTAGCAGGTGACATTGCCCTGACTCTGCTCTCCTGCTTGCCTCTCCTAGATAGACAATGACACCATCAACTATTCCAACTTCCTCAAAGCATCCTTCTCACATGGCATCATCAAAAGGAAGAAGGACCTCCATATACACGTCAGTTGCAAGATGCTCCAGGACACCTGGGTCAACACCATGTACATTGCTAATGACACCATCGAGGTTGATGAAGTCCAGTATGGCCATTTTGATGTGAACATTTCCTTTTATACATCATCTTCATTTCTGTATCCTGTGACCAACAGCCCATACTATGTGGACCTCAACCAGAACTTGTACCTTCAGGCTGAAGTCATCCATTCTGATGCCTCGCTGGCCTTGTTTGTGGACACCTGTGTGGCATCACCATACTCCAATGACTTCACATCTTTGACTTATGATCTAATCCGGAGCGGGTAAGGAGTGTCTTTGGGGGAGGAACTTTGCCTGATAACTCCAACATGAGTAGCTCCGAAGGTTTAAGGAACGCAGATTTTGGTTAACCGCGGTTCCTAATAGCTCACACTCAACTGGATCCCTTTCTACACATAGTAACATCCTGTCTTTTATCTTCTGGGGCACTTTCATGCTGTGTGTGAAACTCCATCCCTGATGAGAAGGGCAGGATGACCATGTGTCATCTCCAGTTGACATATGGGGATCTGGGAGCCTGGAGAATGGAGCAAGTCCCCTGTAGTCACCCAGCAGGTAGCTATAAACTGGAATTAGAGCCCAAGAGACCTAACTTAGCGTTAGGGTTTAAAAGGACCTGCATGTAGTGTGAAAATCACTGACTGAGGAGCAGTTCAAGGTTGAAGTGACAAATCCACCACATGCCAGCCCTATGACTCTGGGCTGGCAAATTAACCTCTATGGACCAGGTTCCTCACTTGTCAACTGGGGATAATGACACACCATCAAATGCTGTTGGGAGGATTAGATAAAAAAGAATGAATGAGACACTGAGCACAGAGCAGGTGAAGCAGGTAGTCCTCTAGGAATGTGCACAAAGATGGCAGGTGAGGGACGTCCAGAAAGGGCAGGGGACATCAAAGCTATCAAGAGTATAGCTGAATATCACCTTACCTGGCCCAGGGACTAGGAAAGAGAAGGAAAAGTCATTTCCTTTTCTGCCCTGTCTCTGGGCCTTGTTCCTGGGCACCAAACTTGAGCTACTTTCCCAACTCATCTGGCTTACTTAGGCCCATTGAGCAGCTGGTCATTGTGGGATTGACCAGCTGTGCAATCTGGGGCCCATTTATTCATTGGGAAAGCCCTGGGGGGATATGCTGCCTAAAGATGCCAGTGATGTCTCAGAGCTGTCAGGGCTTGTCTGCACATCTGACAGTGAGTGTCTGATGCTCATGTCCTGAGGGAAGGAGAGTGAGGTATGCAGGAGAGCAACAGTGAGGATGGGCTGTGGGGTTCCTTGCCTGGTGCAATTGACTCATGAAGAAAATGACACTCTGGTGACAGTCAATGGGTTGCTTTTCTCTTCCAGGTGCGTGAGGGATGACACCTACCAAACCTACTTCCAGCCATCTCCTCACATTGCCCGCTTCAAGTTCAATTCCTTCCACTTCTTGAACCGCTTCCCCTCTGTGTACCTGCAATGCAAAATGGTGGTGTGCCGGGCGTACGATTACTCTTCCTGGTGCTACAGAGGTTGCGTGGTGAGATCCAAGAGGGATGTAGGCTCCTACCAGGAAAAGGTGGACGTCGTCCTGGGGCCCATTCGGCTGCAGACCCCCCATGCCAAGAAGAGGAGCCTCCGTAGGTGGTTGTCCTAAGACTCCACTGCCCACTGAGGCCAGGCCTGTGACTCTCGGGGACTTGGGATGTTTCTGATGGTGTCATGTTCCAACTCAAACTGAGCACATGGTCAAGACATTTCCGACCTTGGCAGTCAAGGACCTGACACCTTTCTCCTTTGGGTTCTGAAACTATGTTTCTCGTCTGAAAAGTGAAAATGCTAACACCTCTTAGCACTGCCAAGAGGGCTATATAAAGCGATGTCAAACTGCCTCAGCCTCTGCCTGGTACGAGTCATTGGGTGGGTGCTTGGTGAACGGTAGTCTTGGTTGCCATTGTTATTGTCACCCATTAGTGATAACATTATTCCTCACAATGATAAAAGCAATAAGCTGTAACTGTGAATTTTGAAATCGGTGCCTGGATGAGACCCCGGGGAAGCAGGCTGCATGGATTTGTCTAACTACTGGCAGGGTTCGGCCCGACACAAGCCATTGCATATTCCTCATCTAGAACAGGGAGTGGACCGTCTGCTTTGCTGGGTCGCTTTGGGTGTGGAGAGTGAATCCCAGGGTTTTTGGCCCAGGCTGGTGCCAGGTCATCAGATGTGGTGGCTGTGGTATTGGGGTGGGTGGGGCAGCAGCCATGATCATAAACCCTCCCCTCAGTCAGGGCGTTACCCATGGGGGCATCTTGACAGCTCTCGCTCCTTGTGCCTTTCATTCTGGCGTCTCCACGTCCACCTGATTCCAGACTCTTTCCTCACACATTCATTCAATGCATATTTACTGAAGGCCTGGTATGTGCCAGGAGGCAAATGAATACATGGATAAAGGTTAAAATTCCTGCCCTAGAGAAACTTTCACTCTAGAGGGAGGAGGCGCAGTTCAGAGTCAGTCTCCTGCATGGCACCTGCAAAGCAAGCCCAGGCAAGGAGAGCAGGACAGTGGGTCGGGGCGGTGGGGCAAAAAGCCCCATGGAGACGGGTACTCATATCTCTCCTCTCCCTTCTCTTTAAAACACCCAACTCTCTCCTCCCTTCCTTCTCAGCCTCAGGGCAGATTTATTCTTCCAAAGCCAGGCTCTGAGTTCTTGCTCAAAAACCTTCCCTGACTCCCCTTGACTGACAAGAAATGTGAAATCTCTCTAGTCTGACACTCAGCTGCCTATTGGGGTCCAGCCTCAGTCTCCCATTTAGCACTTTCCACTCCCATTTTTTTTTTCTTCCCACCAAAGCGTTCTGGTTACTTGTCTCCCTCTCCTTCTCCACTTGACATTGTCCCAGTCCCAACTCTGTTACTGCCATCTCCTCTCCTTCCCAGATCTGTCAGTGGCTAACATAGAGCCGGTCAGCTCCCAGGGTAGCTATCACAGGGCTGCCATCTCTGCTGGGGTCTTCCTGGCTGGGGTAGTCTTCACGCTGGGGAAGAGGACATGCAGCACCAGTGGCCAGCCTCTGAGCTCCAAGGTGTGATGCCAGGAGGAGGCACTTGGACATTAGCCCTATGTGCCTAGGCACCCGAGAGGGGATGGAAGAAATGAGGATGCAGAGCTTGGCAGCCAGCAGCACTTGAACTCTGTTTATCCCAGCACAGAGGTACATGGGGGCAGATTGAGGTTGAGTGAAGAAAGGTGGTGCCGGGCTTTTTCCAGATCCACAAGCTCTGTGCTGGGGCAAAATGCCAAAGGTAGACAGGTGCCAGTGTCCAAAGTCTTGCCTGCAACTGTGGGTCAAATACTAGCGCAACAGAGCTTTCTCTAGATAGAATTGCTTATAAATTAGCTTCTTAGACCTGTAGCACAAATCTCAGCCTTACCTTATGGTAGAGCAAGATGAATAAAGAACGTTTTTCAGAGCAAGTGTCAGCCTGGCCGGTGTTTCCACGACTCACCCAAGTACTGGATCCCTTTAAATTAAGCAACAGGTGGAGCAGGATGTTGGCCAGAATGATAAAGGGCAGTTAGAGTGTCTTCCCAATGTTCTTGGCATGTTTTGGTTCTTCTCAAAGCAAGGTAAGTGGGATGAAGGCTAGAGAAGACAAGTATGCTAACTGCATCATAACTTTTAGTACCTGCGATTTAAAAGTAAAGATGGCTGCCTCCATTCTTCCACGGTTCTGCTTCTTTTGGTTTTTGACATCTATATCCAGAACTGTGGGCTCAGAGGGACCAGGGAAGGAAGCAAACCCCCCAGCGCCCTTAGGATAGGAGCTTTGTTTGCATGAGGTCTCCAGGGAGAAGGGGATTGGCAGGTGACCCAAGGAGCTCAGAAGAACAAAGGGGTGAGGTGTGTCCCAAGGAGGCAGTGAACTTGCCAGAAAATAGGAGAGAAGCTGGACCTGGGGTCCCTAGCTCAGGTTTTGAAGGAATGCAAGTGTTTGTGTGTTGTCCTGACAATGCCAATGTTTGCCCTGTGGAGCCAGGCTCAGGACCCCTGTCCCCAGGAGGGGACAGATAAGACAACTCTGACTCCAGATGTGTGACTTGAGCTGGGTAAGACTCCAGAAGGGCAGCAGCTGCAGGGGAGACCCCAAGATTAAGGCACAAGGAATACCAACAGAGACCCAGCACAACTGCTGGCTTTGAAAGGGCTGACCGAGAGCTGTCCACCACCAGCTGCAGTGAGATGCCTTCACTATCCATGAGATGCAAGGAGAGCCCCTGAGCCCTACCAGGGGTCAAAGAAGCTGTGGGCCCCAGAACTGTCTCTTTCAGGTTTCCATTCTCCTTGCCATCACCTCCACACTTACCCTTTCCCTCCCAGGCTGGGCCTGTGGAGGAAAGCCTTGAGGGTTACCTTGTGGTGGAGAGTCTGCCTTGAAATGAAATGACAAAGCAATGGAATGCAGGCCCTACCCCAGAAATGGATCTGCGCAGATGCCAAAGAAGCAACAATCTGGGAGAGGCACGCAGGGTTGAGAAATATATCAGAGGAGCAGATGGATCAGAATCTTCATGGTGTGGGCCTGGGCAACGGTGATGCGAAAGCTCCAGGTTGTTCTAAGATCGAGAACTGCTGGTTTAGGCTCCTAAAATTCCTCTGGAAAGGATCCGGTTTGTGCCCATACGTGAGAAGGTGCAGTGGACACTATGGGTCCTTGCTGTGAAGATGGGGATCACTGGGGCAGAAGGCCCAGCAGGCTTGCCCAAATGGTCTCCAAAGACCCATTTTTCCACTTTAAAGTTTCAAACCATCACCTCAAAATATAACTTACCTAAAGAGCCTAATTTTTGCAAATTCACATGGTCCCAACCCCTGCCATCCATGAGAACATGCCGTGGAGAAAGCTCTGAGTAAGCATCTCCTACCTGCTGGGCACCTTGGATGTGTTGTGGAATCTAATCCTCCTGACACCTCTCTGGCCACATATCATCATTCTCACCTGGCAGGGATGGAGACTGAGACTCAGAGAGGTGAGAAGGCACACACCGAACACAGGATTTGGGGCAATGAGTGGCGGTGCTGGGATTTGAGCCGGGGTTGCTGACTCCTGGGGCCAGGTTTCCCTCCTCCCTCCCTGTTCCATCGGCCCCAGGGCACCATGAGCTCTGGAGGCCTGGTCTCACATTGTGTTTGCACAGAGAACTGCATCTGACACACACTTGCCTGCAGCTCCTGCGTGGGGTGTGGAACCAGGTGCAAAAGGAGGAGTTCACCAGCATGTGGAGCCATCTCTACCACACCCACACCCCAGCTGGGCCTGGTGAGACTGTTCACTTTCCCTGGGGTAGGCTCCCTGCATCTTCAGGACCTGCTTAGCCGCCAGTGACTCTGCCCCAGGTCCCACACTCAGTGGAGTGACTGACACCCAGACACTGCCAAAGGGTCCAGGAGAACACAAGGCCAGGTCCTACGGCACTTTTTTTGAGCCGTCTCCTGTGTCCTTGTGGGGATAAAGCCAGCCCTCCAGCCACTTCCACGCACACCAGCATCCCTGCCCACCATCCTCCTGCCATCCCACCTCAGAGGCCAGAGGGCGCTGTGTCCCCACCTTGGTTCCTGATTGGTCTTGACCTTTTTAATTTTAATTTTAATTTTTTTAATTGTAAAAATGTGGAGTACAGTCCAGGGTCAGGTATGATAATCTTTTTTGTCTTTTTAATTTTTAAATTTTAAAGATGTGGGGTAGAGTTCAGGGTTAGGCATACAAATATTCATTTTGCAGGTACCCTTGTTGATGAGGTTGTTACTCTGTTTCTTTTGGGTGCCAGGAGTTGTCCATTACAGGAAGCCATTCCAGGATTTTCAGCTCTAGGAAGGATTCTTGTGAAAGCCTGCCACCGCCCCCTTTCTTTACTTAAGAGGACAGAATCTGATCTAGTTTCTGACAACACAGTTGCCAGTCGTTCCACTCTCTGCCTGGTGCCTACCACAGGCTGAAGTCTGCTATCCAGGAGCCCCTTGAGATCTCGTGACCTACAGCCCTGTCTTTGGCTCCAGAATCCCTGCAGTGGCTGGCATGAGGTTGTGTTAGAGCAGAGGCTCCCTTCTAGACAGGTGATGGCAGTGGGGTGGCTTCCTGCATGTGCTTATCAGGGACAGCCTCAGCGCATAGTCATTTGCTCCAGGAGACAAAGAGTTTGACCTCAGAGTCTCCTCCCCATGGACTGTATTGACTTGGGACATGTGGTGTCATGCATGTGGGCTTGGAAAGGCAGCCCAGCCCAGCTGTGCTCTGATTGGAGGAAGAAGATCCTCTTGGGGAAGCCTGTGACTATGGAATGCTGTGTTTTCAGAAGTGTTGCAAGCTAGTCAAACAGTCATTATCTGAAAAATTAAATGATAGAGATTTACAGTTAAATAAATTATAAGAACAAAAGAAATAAATACCAAAACTCATCACCTCCTCGTTATTTGACTGTATTTTTCTATTATCTCTGTTCCACCATCGCATGGTCTCTGGTGGAAATGCCATCCACTGCTGAGTGACTGCCTGCCTCTCCCCAGCTCCGTGGGCATCGAGGTCATATTGCTGGCATAAAATAGCCATGGTAGGGGGCATGGGGGTTCAGGCCCGTAATCCTAGCACTTTGGGAGGCCAAGGTGGGAGGATTGCTTGAGCCCAGGGGTCCAAAATCAGCCCAGACATAGGAAGCGAGACCTCATCTCTATAAATAATAAAAAAAGTTAGTCAAGCATGGTGGCACACATGTCTATAGTACAAACTACTCAGGAGGCTGGGGCAGAAAGATAGCCTGAGCCCAGGAGGTCGAGGCTGCAGTGAGCTATGATTGTGCCACTGCATTCCAGCCTCGGTGACAAATTGAAACCCCCAATTCTCAAAATAAAATAGCCTATTTTTTAAAATGCCCATGGAGGGAGGATTTACATTATGAAATTCATGCTGCAAGGGAGGCTGCCCCTCCCTAAAGCCTGTTGGTGAAGATTTCCCAATACCCCACTGCCCACAGTTTGCCCAGAAAGGGACAAATCACCAGAAGAGCTTGGCAAAAATCTTCATCCATCTGCCACTATGTTAAAGCTTCCTCCATTGGCATTGCATTTTTTTGAAAAGCACCTGTATTTCAGTAGATGTGGAATCTAAAGCTACCTGGACAAGGAGATGCCTTGGCAAGCTCCCACAGGCTCTGATGAGGGCAGAGCCCATGCTAAGCCCTGGTGAGCAGTAGGTGTAGTGCTGGGCCTACTCTGGGCCCCTGAAGATGGGTCAGTTGCCCAGGTGCAGGTTAGGACCAGGTCCAGGATGGAGAGTCAGGTGGTGGGAGCTATTGATGTATCACATGAGAACCCTGCCTCATCTCCCTCCACCCAAGCAAAATAAAATAGCCTATATTATTTCAAAAGCAACAAATTTCTTTTCTTGCCCCTCATAGTCATGCAGACGTCAGACACCCCTTAGCCCCAACTTTGGATCTCTGGCCTGAATCCACCTCTAGGTGACAGCTCCATTTTCCCTGGAACTCTCTATGTGTGCGTGTCTGAGAGCCTGTATTTTTTGCCCATGCTGTGCAGTGAGGAGCAGTAGCCCTGCCAAATCAGGGGCAAACATTTGTGCAACAGTATCTTTCAGCGGCTGAGGCTTCAACCCTGAGTGAAGTTTCAACACTGTGGGGGCACTGATGGCCTGGGGCACCTGGAGGCCTCAACCTGAGGTAGCAGCTCAGAAGGACGAAGGAGAGGCCAAGGCACAGTAGGCCAGTGTGCTCAGTTGTGACTCACTCAGTTGAGGTCTAAGATTAATACAGAGCTAGCAGTGACCATAGAAGGGGTGGATATTTTCAAAATTTGCTCCATTCTCATTCATAGCCTACTAGGGAGCTCTTCATGGTCAAGGTGGCTTTGAGTGGGAAGATAGCCACCTAGTCGTTCCTGTGCTCTGATGGCATTAGAATCTCTCCTCAACCAACTTGCCCCCACTTCTTGCACCTACTGTAGCCTTCTATATGTAAGGCTGCCAGTGACAAAGGTGGAGAGACTTTGCTTCTTAATACTTGTCCTCTCTTAAGTTGGTA